CAGGGGGCTTATTTGCACTAACTCAATGGTGACTACTTTTGAAAGAAAAACAAAACAAAAAAACAGAAACAACTATTACTCGCACATGTGTGTATGTGTGTCCATCAGTCAGAGTTTATTAACTTTGGGTCATGATGTGGGCGTGATTTAGGTGATTCCATTCCCCCCCTAGTGATAGCAAGTTGTGCGCATTCGCTCAGCAAACATTTGCGTCTGGCTGTGTGCTCAGCTGAGCGCTCTAATAAAGGTCAGTGATATTCTGTTTCGTTTAAACAAGACCCGGATAAGAGAAGAGGCTGCTCCAGTCCCATAAGACTGAAAATGGATAGAATGTGACATATAATCTGGCACAACATTTCTTTACCCAGAAAGAGGAGAGGGGGTCCAGTTTCGTTTCAGAGTGTTGGTGATTTATGTGCTTCCAGCAAAACTGAAGAGCCTTTCAGGTTTCTCAGCCCTGGGATCGCAGTGTGGAATTAGACCACAAAGCAAACCTTTCCTTGAACACCTTCTTGTTACCGAATAGGTTTATGTTCTGATTTTAAAGAGAAAACAAAGACAACTTGCTATACTTACCTCAGCACCTTGGAATGACAAGATATAGCCTATGTATTCAAATGGAAAAAATGGATTATCAATTTTGTGACACTTCCAAAAAGAGTATAAACTGCTTTGATAATCACTAGAATAAATTTAGAGAAAATCAATTTTAATCTCTTTTGTAGGCAAGAAGGTAAGAAAGGTTCTTTGGGGGCCTTCAGAAGCTTTATCACTTTATGTGTTGACGCTTAAATTACATGCTCACAAGGCCGTATCTACTTGTGCTTCCATTTTGAAATGACATACATATAATTTATTTCAATTTTTAATAAGTGAAAGCATAGCTCTACATTTTTATTTAAAAACCAGTGGCCCAGTGCACAAATTCATGCACATTGAAAGGAAATTAATTAGAAGAAATATTTTAATATTGCTATTTGCCCTTTCTTTATAATAGAAGTGTCAGCCAAATTCACGATTGACAATGACAGATTGAAATGCACGTGTGCGATTGGCACCAGGAAAGCTTTATATGTATTGCGCATGTGCAAATCAACTTAGCCTTTTATATATATGCTTAATTAGACCTGCTTTCTGATTTAGCTAAACTTTTTCCAGCCCAGTGAAGCACCCCAACTTCTCTTTCAGGTAATTGTCAGCAACACAACAGTAAATATCAACACAAAGCAGATTATTATTGTAGATCAGGCAGGGAGAACAAAGGGTAAAATATTTAACTGCAGCAGTGTTTGACTATATTCTGTGCAGTGAGAAAACCTGAAGTCATTTTCAAGGTCCACCATTTCTTCTTTTCAGTTGGGTCAAGTTTCTAAGCTTTCTAAATCTCCATTTTCCAGCTAATGAAAATAAAATAGGATTCCACTGAGTCTCCTATCTATCTACTTCTGGATTTTTGTGAGGATCAAATGAGATGAGGCATGGGAAAATGTTTCACAGACATTTGGTTAAAGTGTAAAATGTTTCCACCTGGCTATAAAGTAAGTTGTGTTCCTGGGCTGAAGAAACCCCAAAGAGGCTAGTCGCTAGGGAGAGGAAGCTGGGCATTGCTTCGTGACATCATTAACCTGGTGCCCACAGCCACCATTTAGGGGCTGGGCTGAGCTGTGAGCCTCATTTTGCGCCATGGGGTCTCGGCAACATCGGCTGTGATTCTGCGATTTGGTGGGCTGTCTCTCTGGGGTGGTGGTGGGGCCTGTGTCCCACTTGGGGGAAGCTGAGTGTTGCTTTGTGAGTGCCAGGCCTGTTTCTCTATAAATGACCAGTGCACGTTATGGCAGCTCCTGTGTCGAGCATCTCCCCCCTGGTGGTCAGTGTACATCATAACAACTGGTGGGACTGTTGGACACTTAGCATATTAGCCTTTTATATATATATAGATAGCTTCTATAAAACATACTGCCTATATCTACAGATGAACTGCAGCTTTTTCCCTTTTATCTTTAATACTAAAAAAAAGATAGGGAGAATAAGATACTTGAGAGTAAAGAGGCCTTGGCCTTTGTCTCTCCCACACCCTAGTCCCCTCAGGGCAAGGCTATGAGGTCACAGTCCCTGCCTGCAACTTCCCTTTCTCTGTTTACTTGCTTTGTTTCCTTGGGCAAGTTACTCAAGTTTTCTGGGCCTCAATTTTTCATCTGTAAACTGGGGCAACGTTTGTACCTACCACATAGGATAGCTGTGAGGATTTATTGAGGTAGTTCAAGTAAAGCACTAAAAGTTTCTGGCCTGTAATAAGAATTCAAATATTAGCTACTTTATTATGCTTACTACTACCTGAAAATGAACAAAGGCATTCACAATGTTGAGCACATTATTAATGGACCCGGAGACTGTGAAAGAGTGCCATCCAGATGCCAAGAACTCTAGGAATTGTTGACTCCGGTGCTGTAGGAATTGAATGGAAGGTGTTACAGAAGGTACCACAGGCCACTTTGTACCGTCCACCCTTCTCCTGAGAAAGTAGAGGGATGATGGCCTTGAGAAATCCTGTTCATCACCCGGGAGTTGTGGAGGTCAAGGCCAGCTTAAAGGTATAGCGTGAAATCAATGCTGTTAGTCAGCAAAACACAGATGCACTCTTTTAGAGAGTCGCTTGGTATTCTACAAGTTTATTGTCAAATGGGAAGAAGAAACTAACACTCAAAATATAAAATAGGAGCAATGTTATTATTTTCAAATAATATTGTTTAAAATGGAGAATTGAAGATGACAAACCAAAAAATCTCTACAAATTAATTGTTTAGTAAAAACTCCACAAATACATGTATTACAAAATAAATACACTTGAAAAATAAATACATTAACAATATCTAGTATATATAATGAAAACATGATTCTGTGGATATTAGCAGAAAAAAACGTTAAATTCGCAGGAAGACTTAATAAGAAATATGAATTGACTGTATTAAAGATGTATTAACTCCACTGATAGGATTTTTGTCAAGGGCACTTGAAAAGCAAGATGAATAATGGAGGGTATATATCATGTGTATGGATGTGAACATATGGAATTATACTGTAAACGTGTGGGTTCTTCCCAAATTAATTTATAAATGGAATCCCAATTATATTCTCAAAGGGATTATCAAAGTATGACAGGTCTTCAGTACGATAAAGGTGGCTTTACATTCTGTGAGAGAAGAGTGATTTATTCAGAACATTGTGGTTAGATCATTGAGAACGCAAAGCCCACATTGTATTATGATGGGGTGAAGTCTTGAATGAAAAGGAAGCGGATGGTGTTTGTCCACAAGAAAAAAAATCAAAATTTCCAAAGGTCAAAGTATCATATACAAACAAATGTCAAGTGATAAGCCTCGTTCAGTATTTGCAGGTTCATTGATCTAGAGAGTAACCCTTCGCCTATCTCTTAGGCAAAGTGTATTATTTTAAAGATATAAACACTTCTTTAAGAATAAGGCAAAGAGCCGAAACCGGTTTGGCTCAGTGGATAGAGCGTCGGCCTGCGGACTGAAAGGTCCCAGGTTCGATTCCGGTTAAGGGCATGTACCTGGGTTGCGGGCACATCCCCAGTGGGAGATGTGCAGGAGGCAGCTGATCGATGTTTCTCTCTCATCGATGTTTCTAACTCTCTATCTCTCTCCCTTCCTCTCTGTAAAAAATCAATAAAATATATTTAAAAAAAAAAAAAAAAAAAAAAAAAGAATAAGGCAAAGACCTGAGCTATTTTCATTGTCCGGTTCCTTAGTAATTATTTAATCAGAAGCCTGCAGTAAGGTGAACCTTGAGATATAAAAGAACTGAATGGTACTTTCTAGATTCATCTTAATAGGTTCTTTGTACTTGGACAGAAAGCAAACTATCGATTCTGTTAAATAACAGTTCAGATGGGTAAATTTTAAAGATCTAATCGCCTTTATTGAATGATTCATGAATTGGGCAGCCTCCCATCCAGCAAGTAGAAAGGAGCTCGGCTGGGCTGTGGAAAGGAAAGGTTTTTTAAGGCAGGGGTGGGGGGTGGGGGTGTGGGGTGGGGTGTGGGGGGGTGGGGTGGGATGTGGGGGGTGTGGGATGGGATGTGGGGGGTGTGGGGTGGGATGTGGGGGGTGTGGGGTGGGATGTGGGGGGTGTGGGGTGGGGTGTGGGGGTGTGGGGTGGGGTGTAGGGGGGTGGGGTGGGATGTGGGGGGTGTGGGATGGGACGTGGGGTGGTGGCGGTATTAGCCAAGAGTGCATTGTTCAGCCAGGGTTGCCCTCCTGAGGGGACGGGGAAGGGCCTTCCTGCAGGAGTGACTCCAGGTTGACTGGTTACAGGCTGCGTTCCTCACAAGCCGAAGCTGCAGCTACATTTGGCATTAAGTCATGGTTCGCTGCTGCGGGCTCAGCTCCACTTTGGTCTGTTTGTTAACAATTCTCATATACTGATTTTATTATTAGCCTGTGTTCTCGCTCTTTCCTTTTCTTTACCCCCTTTCCCTCTCCATCTCTCCTTTCTTTATTTCATTTTAAGTTTGTTTAAAAATAGTAACGTGTCATAAGAACTCAGGTATTACAGCAACATGTGAAAGTTACAGCTCCCTGTTTGTGTCCGCCCCAGCCCCTCCCTGAAGTCAGCATCTTTCTTCCTCCCAGGCCAGCCCTCGCCATTGGCTGCTGCCCTCACGGTGCTGTTTGTGGATGTTTCCCTCAGAGGCCACCTTGTACAGTTTTAGGCAAATAATAGGCCTTCATATATTTTGTCGGAAGAGCGAGTGAAAATTGTAGACATATGCTTAATTTGCCTAATTCCTTTGCAATTCAACCAACTGGTATTTTAAGCAGAGTCCTGGGGCTTCTTTTGAAGAGACAATATTCTTCTCCCAGCCCCTCCAATTCCAACACTTACGCATCCCTACCCGTGCATATCTTTGTAATGGTTTCCGTTAAGTTGAAAACATTTCTTTATGTTACCATAATAATCTAATATTTTTTCCCTTCCAGCTGCCGTTGCCGCCGTGCTGCACTGGTAAGATTGTTTTTCTCCTGTGGCCCTCTTTCTGCAGATCGTTATAACTTACCTTCGCTATCTTCCTTCGCTATAAGGGGATCATTTCAGTATGATCAGGGTGAATATATATAATCACATGCAGCACAGGAGTCTGAAAAAGTAGTTTAATTGATAAATCAGGTCAGAATAATAGAATTTTTTAATAAAGAGATTCATTATTGAAGAGGTTATATTTGAGACTCTATTTCGCTTAACATTAGTATAGTGTTCATGTTGCGAAGATTAATTTTTTTAATCTTCTGGATAGAGAGAAATATGAATTTCATTAATCAGACATTTCTGAAATGGTTATTCAATGACATTTATAGTCTACAAATTTTATTGTACTTGGCTTAAAGTGTTTTCTGGTTCATTTTAACTTTAAAATCTAACTTGAATGTGTTTTCTTATAGAGAGAAATTTTAGTACCGACGTAAGACATACTGAGCAGAAAAACAAATATGGGTCCCATTGTATTTGCATGTTGTTATGAAATTATCTGCAGATTATTAGATAATTATTAGTAAGTTTCAGCATAGTTGCTCTGTTGCTCTTGTTTTTGCAGGAGCCACATCACACACCTCTTTGAAAATGATCGTCATTTTTCTCACCTCTCAACATTGGAAAGGGAGATGGCTTTTCGCACTGAAATGGTTAGTTTTCATGTGGTGTTTAATTGTAGTATTTTAGAAATCTCAAAATGTTAAGCTTTTTCTTATGGAGATTTTCAACGATGTTCCAGAGTAGAAAGAGTGGACACCTTCCATCTCCTCATCCCCCAGGTTAACACCCAGGACACAGCCATTTCTCGTTTCATCCACACCTCACACACACCCCTCTCCTCAAAGCAAACGTCAGCCTTACATCATTTCATCTGTAAACACTCATATGTATCTTTTGGGAAGGACTTTTTTGTTGATGACAGTCCCTTTATCACGCTTGAAAACAGTGAACAGCAATTTTTAATAACATCGAGTGTCAATCCCTGTGTAAATATCTCGATTGACTTTTTTTTTACAGTTAGTGTGTTGGTATGTTTGAATCAGGATCCAAACATTGCATTTAGTTGATGTATCTCTTATTTCTCTCTTAAGCCTTTCAATCTATAAGTTCCTCTTTCATTTTTGTTTTCCTTGCTATTTATGTTTTGAAGAAGCCTGGCCATTTGTCCTATAGAATTACCCTCAGTAATTCATGTATTTAATATGTTCCACTGTCCCAAATGTCCTGGAAATTGATAGATAAGAGTCTCGATAGCTGAAGGTTTGATTTTTCGGGGGAGGGGCAGGGATACTTCAGAAGTGGGGCTCTGCACTGGCTGTACCATGTGAAGAGGCATGCGTAACTGGTTGTCTCACTTTCTGTGATGTTGAGATTGATCAATGGCTTTAGGTATTGTCATAGGTGGCCCTCACCCTAGATCAGTTATTTCATTAGGATTTCCAAATGATGACTATCCTATTACCTTTTCTGCATTATTGACTGTAACTCTTCTATAAAGGACTTTCCCATAATACTTATTTGGTTTCTCTGGGGTGTCCCTCATACAGGTAAGGCGGGGTCCTTCTTGATTCCTTCTAGATACCACTTTTCGGAAAAATTAGTAGGTTCTCTTGCATCTTCTCATTATGATCTGATGGGTTGAACGTTGTATAAACTTACCCGTCTGTAGGTGCTGAGAGCCTTGCAGTTGGCTCTCTGTCCCCTTGACAGGACCTCACCAGTGTCCTGTAGCTTCCTTACTTTCTGGTCCTATAGACATTTTATATCCTGACCTGGAATTGTCCAGTTTTTCAAGGAGCCCTGATTCCTTTCAGTGGCAAATGGTATTTAGAGACCACAGTTTTGGTGCTAGATATGCTCATTGCTGCTATTTTATGTTCGATTGGCCTTTTAAATAAATTAGAATTAGGAAACAGTCTTTTTAAGAGAAAATAAATTGTGAATTTATCTTCATATTTTTAAATTCAAATTTAGTATTTCATGGTTTTTGCTTATTTTATATTAAATTTGTATCTTTTCTGTTAGCCTGAGAATCTTGGTTTGAAATTACTTACTTTTGACGAATAATAGTGCCAAAGGTATTGTTAAAAATGTGATTAAAATATGATAGCTGAAAACAAGTTAGGACTTTCTTGCATTTCAATATGACTTAAGGATACCTAGTAGGGATGCACAGTAAAATTGCTATATCTTAAAGTTATTGGAAATCATCTCCCAACTTGATAGTTAATTTCTTTCTTTAAAATTTTTTTGACATGTAGGTATTTAAATTTGTAATTTTATGATTAGTAAGATATTTACATGATTCCAAAATCAAACTTACAGAACAAGAATTCAAATAAGCTGTTAGGAGAAACATTTTTGGCCAGGTAAGAATTTGTGGCTCATAGTAAATTTTAAGTTCCATAGCAAACCACTCACCCTATTCATAAGATAGCCCCCTCCAACACTTACATTATATGGGTTTTCTTAAATGAGGTATGCTGAGCTATATTATTATTTTTTTTTTATTGTAGAAACTACTTTTGAAGCTCTTTTGAACCCATTTGTTTTAGTTAAGACAAAGTTATACTAAAATCTGTAGGTTTTTGCAACCTAAGAATTTATCAGTGGTTAGAAACCTGTGAAGTTGATTGTAGCTATTGCTTACTTGATTGCTTTGTTTTTGAAACACAGTGTACTCTAGGCTTTTTAAAGCTAATAAGAGGAACAGTAATTACGTGCTTTTTGTTATAACTATAATATGTGCTTATTTCAGGGATTGTATTATTCCTACTTCAAGACTATTGTGGAAGCACCCTCGTTTTTGAACGGAGTGTGGATGATTATGAATGATAAGCTGACTGAATATCCCCTTGTTATTAATACATTAAAAAGGTTCAATCTTTACCCTGAGGTAAGTTAGTTTTTTTAATTGTGATTGTCTTACTTAAAAAAAGAGTGTTATTTGTATTAAATGCTAATTCTAAATCACAGATATGATTCAAAATAAATTTTATTCTATTTTAAAAGAGAATGTATCTCTTCTTGGAAAGGAGTGTGAAGAGCATTATTAGGTTGAAGGGCGTTAACAGATCAGTGGGGACTGTTCTGACGGTGGCGGAGGAAATGTGCAGATTGTGTGGGTGGTGTGCTTGAGGGGAGTGTGACAGGGCAGCACCGTTCATGTCACATGTCACTGGCCACCGTGCTTCTTCCTTCTCTGGGATGCTTCCTGTAATGGGAGGTATATTCTTCCGTGGCCCACCCTCCAGGCAGGGAGGAAGGCAGTGACATCAGTAACTGGTTTTGGCCTCTCCTTTACTATCCCTGTTTTCAGGCGACACATCCCTGCGCTCCTCCAGGGCCCAGCGGAGCCGTGCCTTCCTCAGTGCTCGCCTCTGACCTGATGGGTGGTGCTCCAGTTGTGCCCACTTCCCCTGGGTCCCTTTTTAGCACACCGGCTGCCAACAGCACGGGCCTGATGCCAGGGCCGGAGGCCTCGGTCTCTGCAGGGTCCCGAGCCCTGGCTCAGTACCAGTACCGGGCGGGGCTCCCGCTCGTCTCCCAGTGAGTGAGAGGAGTTGAACTTGCAGGTCAGTGAGTTAGCCCTGCTGATGGATGGGCAGACAGGCCAGTCAACCGCCCCCCGGCTCCGTGCTCTCCTGCTTCCTGAGGACTTTCTATAACCACAGACACATTGCTTCTGCAGAAAGGATCCCAAGAAAGATGGGATCACATGGCACGTGTTTTTAAAATAAATGCCTTTTGTCTTTTAAGACTATTTATAACAATTTCCCATGTCATCTTCTTTTCCATAGCATCCTTTTTAATGGCTGTGTGCGCAATGTACCATTGTTTATTTAGTTCATCTTTTATGAAAAGTCTGCTTGTTTTCAACTGTTTAAAATACCCTAACACTGCAGTAAGCATTTTGAACTCAGTCTTTGCACTTGTAAAAAATATCCTTATATTTTTTACACTGTAACCTGTTGATGTGGAGCTGTTGAGTTGAACAGAATACATATTTGAATGGTTGTACATGTCGCCAAAGTGCTGGCCAGCTAGGTTACAGCAGCTGAAATCCCCCTGGCAGTGTTTGTGAGAAGCTTGTCTAATGAGTCCTTGCTACTGTGCGTAATCCTTTGCTCTCTCTCTGTGTGTGTATGAATTTACAGGAAAAAATGCATTTTCACTTTAAAAAGTGCATTTTCATGCCCTTTGTCTAAATTGCCATTGAAATTTTATAAGAGCTCATTTATTATGTGGAGAATGTGAATACTATGTTACATGGATACAACATTTTTCCCCAGCTTTTTGTTAGCCTTTTAGCTTTGTGCATGATGTGTATGTGTTATATCTGTGAATTGTTTTAATTATTATTTTCTTTTATTCTTATATTAAAAAATCTTTTTAATTGTGATAATTATGTTGTTAAGATTTACATTTTTAGTTTATCTGGAGTTTGTGTTAGTGTAGTATGGGGTAGAGTCTAATATTTTTCACAGTGGTCATCTGTGTGACCTACCTCTTTGATGTGTGCACCATCTTCTCCCTACATTCATTATTATACACAACATTATTGTGCATTTATGCTTCTGTTTTTGTTTTTATTTTTTACATATATCTTTATTGATTTTAGAGAGGAAGGGAGAGGGAAAGAGAGAGAATAACATCAACGATGAGAGAGAATCATTGGTCGGCTGCCTTCTGCACACCCAGGCATGTGCCCTTGACCAGAATCGAACCCGGGACCCTTCAGCCTGCAGGCTGATGCTCTATCCACTGAGTCAAACCAGCTAGGGCACTTGCTTCTGTTTTGGATTTTGTATTTAATATGGCCTTCGGTTGAGGTCCTGAGGCAGACTTTGAGATTTCCTGCAGGACGTGTGTGGAAGGGATGCCCTTAGGGTCAGTGCCAGGAGGTGGAAGAAGGAAGCAGGGTTAGGCGGGAGGAGAAGTTGGGCTGTGATGCAGTCACTATAAAGATAGCAGCCAATCCCATGGGAGCCCTGGAGCTGGGAGGGCTTTGCACAGTTGTCCTACCTGGAGGCAAGGGCTCTGGGACTAGTCAGTCAAAGGATGTAGTTGTCCTTGGGCAGTGAGTGTGACCTTTAGTAAATTTACGCATTAGCAGAGGGTAGTTCCCGGAGAGGGACTCAGCTGAGAGCTGCCAGCTACCATCCTCCCAGCTGCTGGGGTGGGAGGGCCTCAGGCCTGGAGGTCTGGGTGGCAGTCCGCCACCCACATGGGGTGCTTTGATCTGTTGGCTATTCTTGTGCCAGGATCACACTATTTTAATTGTAAGTAATACTTTTATGTGTGTTAGGACAGCCTCTTCAGTTCTCTCCTTTTTGTAATTCTTCTAGATAAAAGTTCCTGACAGATACTTGAAATTTGTTTAGTATTGTTTTATGTGTATGAATTAATTTGAGGGATTCACATCTCAAAAAATTAGATCTATTCAGGAAGACATCTCTCTGATTGTTCAACTCTTCTATGTTCCTCAGTAGTTTTATAGCTCTTGACCATATAAATCTTGCATGTTTCTGGTTATATTTTATTCTTGCTGGTGGGTGAGTGTTGAGGACTGACCAGCGAGGAGTCTGTGTTGGGGAGTGTCAGGCTCACCTTAGTAGACTTCAGAGATGCCCAGTAGATGGTACCGGAAGGGAAAATTGGACAATGATCAAGTATCTTAAAACTATTCCAGTAATGAAACTTTAGAGGCTAATATCTTTCCTCATAATGTCTCTATTTTTTAAAAATTAGGTCATCTTAGCCAGCTGGTACCGAATTTATACCAAAATAATGGACTTCATTGGCATTCAGACCAAGATCTGCTGGACGGTCACCAGAGGGGAAGGACTCAGTCCCATCGAGAGCTGTGAAGGTAAGTTTCTCTCTGCGACCTTGTCCAGTAGGTTGTTGCAGCCCGATAGACTTACCCAAACGTACGATCTGAACAACCACCATTTTATTCTGCTTAGGGACGCGAGGAGTCAGGATGTGGGTGGGGCTGCAGGGCTAGTCCGTTTCCCTGATGAGAGGCCTCGGCTGGTCCCCAGTGGCTGGGAAGACTGGTGTCACCTGGGGGTGCTACACTTTCCTTCTGGCTCCTGGGCCGTGGTGACTGCGAGGCTGGGCTCAGCTGGGATGCCGGCATGTTCCCTTGCCAGGCAGCTTGGCTTTTGGATAGCGTGCACCTCAGGTGGCCACTTGGGACCTCGCCTCAGCAGTCACATGGTGAGGCTTCTGCGTTCTCTGTTGAAGTAGTCACAAGCCCAGGCAGGCCCGAAAGCCGGGGGTAGACCCCGTACTCCCGCACGAGGAGTGTCTCCACGGCTGTTCGCCTTCCATCTGAGGGCCGCAGTGGTGGTGTGTGTATGGGTGGAAACCAAGGCACCATTTTCAAAATGAGCATGTTTACTATAAACTGCCAGATGCATGAGGTAATTTCTAGAGCATATGTTTTGTTCATTTAAAGGATTGGGAGATCCTGCTTGCTTTTATGTTGCTGTCATTTTTCTTTTAAATGGACTGATGATGGCATTATTCTTCATTTATGGCACATACTTAAGGTAAGACTGTTCATTGAGAATATTTTAGTTTGTGTTTTAATAATGTTTACTAGAATAATCTAAACAGTGAGAGTAGCATTACAATGTGGTTCAGTTTTATAACAATGCCATTTCTGATATCTCTGCTTGTAGATATAAAATTACTTCCCATTTGGATGATTTCACCATTGTCATGGCCAGCCAAACTGAAAATCATTAGAGGTTTAAATACAACATGGTGGGCTTATGTGATACATTTTAGGTATTCGTAAGCATTTGAGCATAAGCAATATGTGTTATTTACATAAAAGGAAATGGGAAGGACCACTCATTACCAGGTGATGTCAGTGGCTCTTCCTTTTCTAATGTTAAACTAGTAATATATTCTGTGCAGGTATTTACCATCCGACCTGATTTACTAGTAATTGAGCAGCATTCCTGCCCTAACCGGTTTGGCTCAGTGGATAGAGCATCGGCCTGTGGACTCAAGGGTCCCAGGTTCGATTCCGGTCAAGGACATGTACCTTGGTTGCGGGCACATACCCAGTAGGGAGTGTGCAGGAGGCAGCTGATCGATGTTTCTAACTCTCTATCCCTCTCCCTTCTTCTCTGTAAAAAAAATCATTAAAATATATTTTTAAAAAAATTGAGCAGCATTCCTAAAACTGAAAGATTGAGCATTTTCTAAGGGTTTTTCTATTTATCGCTCTCTTTTTTGACAAGTCTCCACGCTGTTTACTTGTTGAACTATTTTACCATGAGAGTATCCTTAGAGCATTCTTTTTTCCTGCTTCCTGATTCTTCGTATGACAGAAGTATGAGCATAGTATACGTGTGCTTTTCAGTTTGAGTCCATGGGTTTGAATCCGCTATCCTCCCATTGTCTGCTTTACTTTGCGAGTGTGGCTTTCATGGTAGTGCCTCTGTTGAGCTCTTAGCTCGGTGATTGAGGGTACAGCAGCTACTCAAAAATATTTATCAAATGCGGTTGCAGGTAGATCAGTTGAGAATATATTTGCATATAGATTGAAGATACTTTGATGCTAAGATTTCTGACTTAAGTCTAAGAACGTCTTTTTAATGATTTAATTGGGGGAGCCTGAAATGAAAATACATGATTTAAATGTGTGAAAAATTTTGTTTTTGAAACGAGACAACTTAACCCAGAGTTAAGTTGACCAGGAGAGCAGGCTGACTCGCAGGGAACACGGCCAGCGTGCCGTGTGTCCTGGGAGCAGGAGGGAGGCTGGGCGTCTGGTCCTCTTGCTGAGCGCTGCCCATCTGTCTTACGGACGGCTTTATTACATTTGGGAGATTAGATTTTAAGTAAGAGAAGTTAAAATATGGAAATGACATTATTGCTGAGTCGCTAATCTATAGCCATGCTCTTTTTTCATTGCAAGAAGGATTTCTGTGCATTTATTAAAGTCATCATTCAGTATAATTTCCTTAAGTGCCTGTTATAACCGTTGCTTCAAAGGCTGAAGGTACAGTACCCACTGCAGAGCGTCCTTAGCTGTCCATTGTCCTAGGCTGTTGTGATTAAGGCTGGAGGGCAGACGCGCTGTATGGAAGCTCTGAGTTGGGTGGAACCTGTTAACATTGAGTTTTTATGTAATTTGAGTAAATGACGTGGGAAGCAAGATTGCTGCCAGTTCTTTGGTTTGCCTTTACATTATAATATATATATATCTATATCTATAGCAACAAAGGTCTTTCAGGGCTGTACTGTAGGGGTGAAGTGTTTTATCAGCTTAACTGAAGTGGAAGTTATATATAGAAGGCTTCAGAAGGGTTTGGGTAGGAAGGAGACCTAGTGAGTTAGGAGACACTGTCTTCTATGTGAGAATAGAATAAGGGGACGTTTGCAAGACACTAGAAAAATGCCTGCCCTAAGAACACATTTTTTAATTGAATGAAGTGAATAAATAAACTGAGCTCAGGGTTGCTATATATCAAAGGCACAATAAGAATATATATCTGTCACATAAACTTCATTGGCATTCACTAGTTGCGGAAATATTTTTTCAATGGACTCACCTGAAGCTTTCCCTCTGTAGATTCCACTCTTTCCTTAGAGCTAGGTGTTTACTGAAGAAATGCACGTATAGCACTTGTGTACCCAGCTCTAGCTGAAGCTCTTCACTGTCATAAACTCATTCATCCTTAGGGTTAGCCTGTGAGGTCGGTTAACCATTTTATAGATGAGGAAACTGAGGCACAAGGACATTAAGTAACTCTCCGAGGTCACGTAGCTAGTCAGGTGCAGATGGATTGCTTTGAATCCATGTCACCGAAATGTGTAGGAAAAAAGAAAATTATCAAGTTATTAAGCGTCAGAACTGAAGCATCTACATTCTTACCCCCTCATTTTACATCTGATGAACTCGAGGCTCAGAAGGTGAGTGAGATGTGTGAGCAGAAGTGGTTGGTGTTCAGCAAGCTGAGAGCTTTTACAATCTGCACCACGGCAGCTTTTGCATTTTCTGACAGTTGGTGGTCATATTGCAAAAGAGACTTTTTTAACCACTAGGGAATGCTGAAATATCAACTGATCAACTGTAATGGGGGGAAATCAGTTTTAAGTGTTCTGGTTAGTACATCTTTTCTATGTAGCAAAATGAAAGGACCCCTGTGGTATTCTCTAAGGACGGAGGGGAGAGAGGAGGTGCTGGGCGCTGTTGTGGAATGATTGGGAGTCACGTCGTGTGGTGGTGACGGTCACGCGGCATTTCTTGTAGCTGGCAGGGAGAAAAGTGCGCCAGGATACCCGCCTCCCTGGCGAGCCAGCAGAGCTGCCTGCACTCAGGGGAGGGGCTGCCCCATAGCCTGCATTATGGTGGAACACTGAAGGATTTCGAGGTGGGAAGACAGGGAATGCAGAAGAGTTATAGGAAAATATTGACCTCTCACTACACAAAATGAACTACATAAAATTCAGGTTTCTGGTAGAATACACCATACATTATACCAAGAGACTTTGTCACACAAATGATAAGAAAAGAAAATGATTTCCCTAATCTTTAACGAGGGAAGCAGACCATCCAATAGGAAAAAGGACAAGAATGTGAACAGGCAACTCACAGAAGAGAAAATGCACCTTGTCAGGCAAAACCAAACAAAAGCCAGCCCCACTGCGATGAAGCTCTGTGTGATAGGCAGGAAGCACAGCTCACAGCACCAGCGAGGGAGCGTTCCCACCCGTGTGATGGCAAAATGGGGCAGGCCCGGGCCCATCAGTCTGTGTTACAGAGAAGGGGGTGTGGCTGGTATGGTGTTTTCTGGAAAGTTCACATTCTTTGACTTGGCCGGCTCACAGTTAGGTCTATCCTATAGAACATTGGTTCTCAACCTTGGCTGCACATTAGAATCACCTGGGAATCTTTTTAAAATCCTGATTTCTGGGCCTCATCCTCCAGAAATTCTGTTTCTTTGTTACTAATGTTGTGGCCCCACCCCATAACAAAGAAACAGAATTTCTGGAGGATGAGGCCCTGAAAACAGGATTTTAAAAAGATTCCAGGTGATTCTAATGTGCAGCCATGGTTGAGAACCACTGCTATAGAATGAAAGCACCAGCATTTACGTATAAGGGTGTTTATTTGAACTTTTAAAAATTATTTCAGCAAGGAATTGAAAAATATCTGTCTGTCCAGTAACAAAAGGGCGGGACAAATTGCAGTTCATTTATACTGTGTGATAGTTGACATCTGTTCAGAAGAGTGCCTTGGGTTACATGTATTGATTAGGAATAATCTTCATGATAAATTAATTAGAAAAGGAGCCAATTCCAGAGGCATGTTAATAGTATGATCACGTTAACTATGTTGGTAATGGGTCAGAGAAGGATCTGGAAGGATGGACGCACACATGTGATTGCAGGGTTGGTTGGGCCTGGCCTGGATTCTGACCTGAGCGCGTTTTCTCCTCTTGCAGCGGCAGCCGGTTAGGAGGCCTGGTCACGGTGCTGTGCTTCTTCTTCAATCACGGAGAGGTAGGCAGTCACCAGGATCATTTTCAAAATCCTTGGGGCATTTTACTTCCAGAAATACAAAGTCTATTCTATGATAGTCAAATATTTTTAAAATTTTAGGAAATTTTTACTTATTGAAATGCAGGTTTCTTTTTAATATTTAATGTCTTTACAATTTATAATAGCATTCTTTAAATGTTCGACCTTATTTTGATTCAAATTTTAAACACTAGCATTTATTGTAAGTTAGCTTTTCATCATCATGGTAGCTTTTATGTGGTACATCTCTTAGTGGTGAAGAAATCATGGGTCTCTATCGATGCTTTATATAACTTCAAACTGAAAGCTCATGGTGTAGCTGTTACCGACATAGCCAGCCGTGGACATAGCCAGCCGTGGGGATAACTTATAGGAGCTATATCACACACTTCTGTTTTAATGTATTTATAATAAGCTTTTATAGACTTCAAGTATCCTTCGTATTTTATTTTAGTTATAAATTTTCACATGCCCAAGGGCTTTATTAGGAGACAGCTTTGTAGAAAGCTTGGACTCTGGATCCTGCCCACTGGTGTTCGGATCCCGGCTCTGCCATTTGGTGACTGTGGCCTGGACAAGTCATTTCCTCTCACTTGCCTGTGTTTCCTCTTTGTACCTGGGCGTAATGATGTTCCCCGTTCATGGGATTATCGGGGGCATTAAATGAATTCATATGTGTACAGTGCCTACGACCATCTTTGACACATAGGTAGCTGCTCTATAATTGTTAGTCTATATTATTATTAGTAACTTAGTTTAGATTAAAGTGTAACGTCAATTCAGGGTACCAGTGAAATCCTTTCACTAACTCAGAGTGTAACTGAATTCCTAGTAATGTACCTCTGACCAGTTTTCTTTCATGTTAAGTAAGTTTTGTGTGAAGGAAGGAGAGAGGTCAGCTTGCTTTTAGAGTTTATACACTAGTAGTGGCTGCCGTCTTTGAAAATGCATGTTCGAAAGCTCAACCAGGAGTCACTCTGAACTTCACAGTGCAGTCAAGGTTGAACTTGTGAAATATTGAGTGGGTCACTAGTGGATATTGAATTAACGCATGGTTAGTATTTAGAATCACAGAGGTTTAAAGCTGGAGTGATCTTATGGGGTAGAGCATTTGACTGATGATCGCAATGCAGACATCCATTAGTTGGTTTGGTCTGCGTTTTGAGCAAAAAACAGGAATTATTTGGTTCTTTTTGACGGTGGATGCTGCTCAGTGTCATAGGATGGGCCATGGAACATAAAGCACAGCTTCTGTGTGAATGACCAGGAAACAGGAAGCGACTGCCCGCCACGGGAGCACTGAGAGTTCACGTAGACACTGCAGGCAGGGATCACGGAAACCCATACAATTCTATTAACAGTGTCACCCAAGAGATTCAATACAATGGGAACATGTGAAACCAAGTTTTGAAGAGTGCTGCCTGTCAGGCTGCAGGGCCTGCTGGTCACCTCAGTGTTAGGGGTTAATTCCGGACCTTCTGTTCTTCATATAATTTTGATACTCACGGACCATGAGCATCATTCCTTACGAGGTCTTTCTGGTTTTGAACGATGCAATCCAGACTGTTCAGTTCATCATTCAGGTGGATAGATTTTTCATTTTTCAGCTACTTGCTATATTTATTTAGCTATGCTTAGCTATCACTTTCTACTTAGGAAAAGGTGACTCATTGTGATTGGAATTGTGGTTTAACTAAAATGGTCAAGGAAATCATTGTACTCACACCAGTAAGTGTAGCTTAGAGTAGGAAAGGACCATTTTGAGTAATGACATATATTAAAATTGAGAGCGTACATTGAAGTTTTGGGTAAAATAATGGTGAGAACTCAAGGAACTGGGGACTATTTTATTATAATTTTATTTTTCAGGTTGTGCGATTTCTCAGACCCTTTTTTTTTTTCTGACTTCTGAATACGTTGCCTAAAGCATAGGATTGCTGTACGGGGAGGGTTGTCAACTCCAGCCGTGCCTGTCCCTGCAGTTAGTGAACTTCCCACAGGGTCACGTGCTCTGCCCCCTGGGATTGCTGGGGGCTTGCGAATCGGTACCCTTCTTTTTTAGCAGAGCTATTTTAATCATGGAAGCGAGTGGTTTATGTGCCAGAGAATAGCTGTGCATTGTTACTGGCTTTTAAGTTTTATTTCCATTATTTAGTTTGCTTTGAACTTGAGTCTAAGATAGCATATGACATACTTTTAAAAATAATCTTTCTCTCAGATGGTTTTTACAAGGGAAAATTTTTGCCTACAGAAAAGAACTATAAAATGTATAATGTGAAAGGATTAACCCAATTATTTAAAACAGAAATTTAAATCCAAAACATGAAAACTCAATAAAGGATCATTGCTGAGAGTAATGATCGATAATATATTTTTTTAATTAAATCTTTATTGTTCAGATTATTACATTTGTTCCTCTTTTTTCCCCCCATAGCTCCCCTCCTCCCAGTTCCCGCCCCACCCTCCGCCCTCACTCCCCACCCACTGTCCTCATCCATAGGTGCACAATTTTTGTCCAGTCTCTTCCCGCATCTCCCACACCCCTTCCCCCCCAAGAATAGTCAGTCCATTCCCTTTCTATGTCCCTGATTCTATTATAATCACCAGTTCATTCTGTTCATCAGATTATTTATTCACTTGATTCTTAGATTCACTTGTTGATAGATGCATATTTGTTGTTCATAATTTGTATCTTTACCTTTTTCTTCCTCTTCCTCTTCTTAAAGGATACCTTTCAGCATTTCATATAATCCTGGTTTGGTGGTGATGAACTCCTTTAGCTTTTCCTTATCTGTGAAGCTCTTTATCTGACCTTCAATTCTGAATGATAGCTTTGCTGGATAAAGTAATCTTGGTTGTAGGTTCTTGGTATTCATCACTTTGAATATTTCTTGCCACTCCCTTCTGGCCTCAAAGTTTCTGTTGAGAAATCAGCTGACAGTCGTATGGGTATTCCCTTGTAGGTAACTGAGTTTCTTTCTCTTGCTGTTTTTAAGATTCTCTCTTTGTCTTTTGCTCTTGGCATTTTAATTATGATGTGTCTTGGTGTGGTCCTCTTTGGATTCCTTTTGTTTGGGGTTCTCCGCACTTCTTGGACCTGTAAGTCCATTTCTTTCACCAGGTGGGGGAAGTTTTCTGTCATTATTTCTTCAAATAGGTTTTCAATATCTTGCTCTCTCTCATCTTCTGGCACCCCTATAATTCTGATGTTGGTACGCTTGAAGCTGTCCCAGAGGCTCCTTACACTATCCTCGCATTTTTGGATTCTTTTTTCATTTTGCTTTTCCGGTTGGGTGTTTTTTGCTTCCTCGCATTTCAAATCATTGACTTGATTCTTGCGCTCCTCTGGTCTGCTGTCGGGAGTCTGTATAATAGTCGTTATTTCAGTCCGTGTATGCTTAATTTCTAGTTGGTTCCCCAACATAACATCGAGGGTCTCATTAGTTTTCTTGTAGATCTCATTAAGTTTATCGGCGGCTTCTAAACAGTTCTTGAGAGACCTTAAAAGTGTGGTTCTGAACTCTATATTTTCCATTGACAATTTTGTCCTGTTTCTTTGTCTCCGCATTTTGTTATGCTTTCTTGGTGCACCCCCTAGTGGTATTTGTGCGCAGTCTTGTAGTTAAGCCTTGATTGTTGTAGCCAATACCAGGGAGGGTTTGACCTCCAGGCCAAGTGGCTGTGAGAATCAGCTGTGTCCGCAGTGAGAGAACCTCTGCCCTCTAGGGAGGTGCCAATCCAGCCTCTGCCTGAGGCTATCCGGCAAATGCCTCTTGCAGGGCTTGGGCGGGGCGGGTCGCACAGGATCAACAGGGTGGGCCGGAGAGAGCAGTTATGGCGGCTCTCAGTCCTGTCCCCAGGGGCTCTGCCTCTCTGAGTCCCAGCAACCGCTGCAAACCTCGGAGAGAAAGCTGCACTCGCTCTGACCGAAGCCAGACAGTCCCGCTTCTCCCCATTTGAGTCTGGGTCCCTAAAGACTCGCCCGTATCTGGAGCTCAGAGTCTGCGACTCCCTCCCGATTGAAAACGCCAACCGCGCCCTCCGCCGCCAGCCTGCTCCGCGCACTCCGCACCTCAGAATTTGACTTCAGCACTGCGCCTCCTCTGAGTGTCCGTATGCGTTTCTCTTTCCTCCTAGTTGTAGGACTTCCACTCAGCCAGCATTCCTGTGGTTCTGGGTGATGTCCGTTCTGTCTTTTAGTTTCACTTTTGAAGTAGTTGTTCAAGGCAGCAAACTCTGGCGTTAACCTATGCCGCCATATTGGTTCTCTCTCAAAGATTCGTGATGGATAATATTGAAGTTATACATTTCATAATAAAATTATGCAGATGACTTCTAGGTTTTTCCAGTGTTGATCCTGTCCCTGTTGAGAACTATTGCTAAGATGCAAGCTCCCACCTGCTTTAGATGCTTCCTCAAGTGCAATACGCTTATGCGGCCTGCTTGACCCTTAGCATGATGTGATTGAACAGCATTGAGATCAGTGTATAAAAAAAGTAAATATTTTTGCCCAATTTTGACGGTTAGGAATTTATTACATGTGAAATAGGTTTGTTTTGTTTTTTTCGTGATGAGATTTAAAAACTTACTCTCAATCATGACGGATGTTGTTTTATATAAACCATGTTCACAGATGTAAAGATATGCACACATGAAAAGGAAAATCTTTTAAACCAAAGTAATTCAAAGTATATAAAGGGATTGCTTTAGAGGCATATCTAATTACCTTTTTCGTTACCTGTAACATTTTTCTGACCTGCATTAGTTTCTTAAATATTTTTAACTGAACTGAGATGAAAATATTAATGTAAATGTACCTATTTCTGATTACTTACTGACATAGTTATGTTATTTATATAAGATTTGGAAAGAAATTCTCAGAACACTTTGAAAATAGTCTCATAGCCCTTAGAATATTCTTGTATGGCAGATAAGCAGTAAATGATAACATTCCGATGTACATTAAATGGAAGCACTGAAAGGTGAGGTGTTCAGCTCTTTGTTGCTGACACTTCACGATGTTAATATTTCAGGGGTCTGTGCTGTGTGTCTCCTGCTCACCAGCATTTCCCACTTCCCCGCGTTGCTGCTGGTGGAAACTTGGGAGCATGTCTGACAGCACACTATTTAAATGACGGGGGAACAAACCTCTCTGTGCGTAGACACAGCCGCTTTCGCCCGCTCTGTCTCCGCAAGGGCAGCCAGCGCGCCTCACGCTGTGATTCTCTCTAGTGCACCCGCGTGATGTGGACGCCGCCGCTCCGCGAGAGCTTCTCCTACCCGTTCCTCGTGCTCCAGATGCTGCTCGTGACTCACATTCTCAGGTAACTGACTTTGTTTCTTCTGCATTGAGTAGCTGCAGCTAGAATTTTTAATCTTTCATAATAAAAACAATATAATAACTAAGAGGATGCCGATGCTAGGTGGAGTTCAAAGGTAGTGGGAAAATGCTTTCATCTTCTGACTATTCTCTGCAAGACAGAAGAACCACATGTCACCTTGTCACCTGCTACACCCAGACATGAGTGAACACAGAAACGCAAACCAGTTTCATGGAATGGAACCCTTGTTATGTAGGACGCAATCACATCTATTCTTTTCCCTCTACTCCATTATTGCTGGCTCTTACCTAATAAGTCAATTTGGGAACTCAGGAGTGGTCACCTGGATCCTTTAGTGCTTGTTTGGGGGCAGGCTGGAAAGAAAGAGTTGGACAACAGAGCACAGAGGGGGGTCCTCTGGGGAAGGGGTGCTTGGGGCATAAGAAAGATGGGCAGGGCACCTCCTGTCCTAAGGGGTCCTCACTCTGTCAGGGGCACACCTTGTGGCCCGAGGATGCTAACATGGACACTTCACTTTGTGAGGATGTTAGGTGTGTTGGAGCTTTGCATTGGCTCACCGTTTCAGGAGGAAAGTAGTTCTTAAAACTAACATACAAGATAAAAACACCTCACGCTCCTAAAAGTCCCAAATTACAAGTAGGACCGACATGAGGCGTGGACAGGTGGCTTCTGAGCGACCCCGCCTTTGGATCCTCCTCTCTTGTCTGTGTCCTACCTGAGCAGGGCCTGCTTTTCTCCCACGTCCTCCCCAGTGTCTCCCCGTCCCCACCGCCAGCTGCTCAGCCTGAGCCCTGCAGGACTCGCCCGCGGACTCCGAGCACTGAACGTGCTGCTCCTGCGCTCTTTCAGGCCCTTGGTCTCGGCCTCTCCGAACGGGTCTCCTGAGGCCATGACACGTGTTTGATGAAGAGTTTGCCAAACATCGTTAGAAAAAGTTCCGTGGCTGTGCCGACCCAGCTGCCCCCCGCTCCGGCCGGCTTTGTTTTTATAGTAATGATGGGTATTTACTTCTCAAAGAAGGTGGCTGTGATTGAGTGTCAGGAGGCATAATTTCTAACCCATTGGCTCACTTTGCCCGCTTGATGCTAGAACCAGATCGTGCTTAGAGATTCTAATTTGCCGCAGTTGGGAGCCACGCTTGGATGCTTGTTAAGCTCACTGATCCTTATTCATCCTCTCAAGGGCCACGAAACTCTATCGAGGAAGCTTGATTGCTCTGTGCATCTCCAACGTGTTCTTCATGCTCCCGTGGCAGTTCGCTCAGTTCGTACTTCTGACTCAGGTCAGTGCTCAGTTCTCCAAACTGACCTAATGTGGCGCTCGTTTGTATACAATTGTAGAACTGAGACGTTATACGAGTCTAAGTCTAGGATGTTTTTTGTTAATCCTTTTAAACCAAGTTCAGAGTAGGGGAATACGTAAGATTTACAATAATGGGTGTTAATTCTTTATCTACTAGTGGAATGCATTGATTGAACTCACATTTGTAGGAATGCCTATCAGTGTTATTTATTATTTGTTAGTGTTTAAAAGAGGACAGGGGCTCTAACGTTAGGTATTTCTCTTAGGTGAATGCATTTCTTTATGAATAGTTGTGCATTCTTACACCTGGGGTAGATACACATAGGATAGCATAGGATGGGTAGCTGAACAGTTTGTACTTTATGGAACTCCCCTTCGACCTGTGATCTGTGTATCATCTGTCTTTCCATGCCCTCGCCTCCCTTCCCCTTCAAACAGGGGTCTGTAGAACAGGGTCAGGCTCGCTTGTAGAGCGGGTCCCCCACCCACCCACCCCCTCTTCTCCACTGTCACTGGGTCATGTGAGTCACTCAGACAGCACAGTGTTCCAGGGGACAAACCTGGTGAAGGGAACCTTGGTTTTCTTGCTAATAGGCAATTTGTTGTAGATTCTTTGGAGATAAACCACTTGATGAATGGAACTTATGTCATGTGTTTAAGTATTTGGCTGTTTGCAGTCTTTTATCCTGTTTGCCTAGTGGGAGGAGCATGGAATTCCATTCTCCACAAAGGATGGTGGAGAGGCATAATTTGAATAATATCTGTACTTTCCTGGAGGTGCACTTTCCCCACTCAATCAGTTCCTCGAAATACCCCGGTATCTCAGAGTTCTTGGTAACTACATACAGTTTTCCTCAAAACTATAAAGAAAGTTAAAATACCTTTGTAGTGAAAGTACTACTTATTTGAAATTTGATAACTAACACTTGAATATTTATGAAAGAGAACATTTATAGAGATACTTGTAAAGCATGACTAACAAGCAGAACTTAATGTGTTATACACACATGCATTACATAATTATTTTTTGAGTTTAATGTAACTTCTTTAATTATGTATTAATCATAGTGTTTTAATTAAATTTTAATATTTTTTTTGATTGGGCAAGGCACTTTGTAATTTTACCTGTTGACAATAGAGTAACTGACATCAGAGTATTGTTTTGGTTAACCCACAGAGTAGATAATTTAAATGGTTAATTGAGAAAGCTGTGTATGGAAAAGAAAAATCAACCAATGTTTGCTATATTAATATATTCACCATATTCAATAATAAATTGATAGGTAAGAGGGAAAGTAAAGAACTTGCTTTCAAAATAAATAAAAATCAACTTGAAACGACAATAAACATGATCCTTTATTATTCTTACAGCTATTCATTGTATATATAATTTTTATTTTTAACTTAATTTTTATTCAATTTCAGATTGCATCATTATTCACAGTATATGTTGTGGGATACATTGATATATGCAAATTACGGAAGATCATTTATATACATATGGTAATGGTTTTTAAATTTGTTTTTTTCCCCTTGAGTTTGACCTCAAAACAAACTCCTAATTAGTATTTGATTTGTTTATGTTAAAACTGGTCGTTCCATGATTCCATAACTAAAACAAGTGTCCTTCAGAAACGGTGACATAATTAACAGGCCTGTTTTAAATAGGCCACCCACCAGTTTTAAGTTAGGTCATATTTTCTGATTTGAGGCTGTGCCTGACTTCCATGTTATCTGTAAAAGGGATAATTCATGAAAGAGAAACACAGAACGCTCATTATCCCAGGGCCTTCTGTTGAAATGACGAGGAGTGTGCATTTGCTGAGCTCTGCCTGTCTGGTGACCTTCCCGGTTTCGAAGTATGGCATAGGGCCTGGGCTGTGTTCCCTTTTGAGCAGTTTGAATTTTGTCTATCGTGGGCAAGTGCAATTTCCAGGCTAATAATAAAACTTTATTTTGTTTTATGTGCATTAATTATATTTTTCTTGGATTTTTCCAGATTTCTCTTGCACTTTGTTTTGTTTTGATGTTTGGAAACTCAATGTTATTAACTTCTTATTATGCTTCCTCTTTGGTGATTATTTGGGTAAGTGTTCTTTAAGTGCATGGCTGTTTTGAAATTCATGGGTTACCCATTTCTTTATCACCGGCTTGGGATTTGTGAGGGATTTTCTGTGAGAAGCATCTCAGGGAAGCACCTGTATGCATAGAACACCCGCGTATTCCCTTTCAGGACAGGAGAGAAGCACAGCAGAGGTTGCTATTGGAAAGCATGGCACTTGCCTCATTGTCTAATGTGCCCTTTCTCTTTCCTTATCTCTTCTGTCACCTAAGCGTTGGTCCCAGGGTGAATTTCTTCTTTATCCTGTCGTCCTCTCCCCTTTTTGGTTTTTATCCGATTCCTGCTTCCCTCTCTGACCCCCTTTCCTACCTGGGCTTCTCCCAGCAGTCTCTCCTCCTTGTTCCACGAGATCAGAGGCTTGACGCCTTGGGTGTTAGGGTTTTCCCCGTGTTTGTTTGCATGAAGTAGTCAGGTAGTTTAAATCAGTGGTAATTCAGTTAGAGTTGCTAGATCACCACAGGGTTAGATGATCAGGACACTATGGTCCCTACCATGTGTTTATGTTTTGATCTCTAACCATATTTTTGCCAAGTTTGAAGTAGAATTGGAGCTGACAGGGAAAGGCACCTACCTCCCCTGCCACTTTGGTCAGATGGCTTTCTAAATATAAATTTTCCTGAATTCGAGGACTTCAGAAGTGGTTATGCCTTTTTTTTATCAATGGGTTTCCCCCATACAGAGTTTTGTAACCCTAAGAAGGAAGAAATTGTTCCTCTGTTTAGTCTAGGTAGGTTTCTGGAAGACCAGCACGTATTGTCCTGTCTTAAATGAAACGTGTTCTACTTCTGGAGTAATCATTTAAGGTGCAGGGCATTTTGGCTTTCTTGATTTCTAGGACCCATTAGCAAATTGGAACCTCCTATTTCTTTGTTCCATTTTACAAGTAACATTTATTTAAGATCTTATTTCCCAAGGTCTGCTTCTGTCCAGTCTGGACCAACACCCTTTCAGGTTGTGTGACCTGAGTATATGTAGTCACAGAAAGTAGCAGTTAGCATGAGGTGATGCTGTGTTTCCAACAAGGACAAAAAACCTCATTAACTGAGTTGTTGTGCTGAGATTAATGATAGTTCTTATAGTTAGTGAATGTGTTTGTGATTGGGAAATGTGAAAATGTGTTCAGTTCTCTATTTTACATGTGTGCATGGGCAAGTCCTGCTGTCACTCAGGCTAAAGTACATGACTCTTGGCACTTGTGCCCAGGGAAGCAGTTGAATGGAAGATGCATGCCAGCCACATCTCACCTAAGCACATGTGCAGGGAGCTTCTCTTCGTTCAGTTGAGCACTGCAGTGTGTTGGGTCTCCTACTGGGTGCTCGACATTGAGGGGTGTCGTAGGTATGAATGATGCGTATTTATGTGTAGATGTTTCACATTTTTGTTGTATAAAAACACATAATGCTAACAGTTACAGAATATAGCATGTTTTTGCATATTTAACCATAAACAAACATTTGCCTATTTTTATTTATAGTTATCACTTTGAAACGTGAATCTTAACACATTTTGTGTTTGCAGATATTCTGAAACTTCTGAAAAGATTTAATTTGGGTACATGTGTTTATGTTTTGATCTCTAACCATATTTTTGCCAAGTTTGAAGTAGATTTGGATCACGATAGGGTATTATATTTTTGGAGTCTATCATGTACTTGGACGTGTTTATCCTAAGAGTTAATAATATTTAACTTAGTATTTTATCTATTTATTATGACTGTAAGGCATCTGTCTGAAATTCTGAATTTGTTTTATACTTCTTGATTCTTAGGTGAGTCAGAGATATAAAATCACTCATAAAAATTAATACATGGTGATTCTTTACAAAGTCTCCAACTGACCTAATCTACTTTGGTTAAAATGGGCTAGTTCTTGAAGTCAGTGAGCTCATGGTGATGTTATGTGGAACATTGACAGTGTGCTGGATTTTAGAGTCTTGCGAGTCTTACTATTTAGAAGTGTTTTCTGGCACTTGGATTTATAAGTATTAACTGTATGCTATCTTATTTTCTCCATGTAGGGTGTGCTGGCAATGAAACCACATTTTCTCAAAATAAATGTATCTGAACTTAGTTTATGGGTAAGAATCAATCTATTTCAATACATATATTTTCCCTCTCTAAAATATGCGATAGGTTTTATGTTTTACTTTTAACGAAATGATCGATGCAATCCAGGCAATCTAACAGTTTTATTTCACATTAGGGCTCAATTTCAGGTACCAAATTGCCCTCTCATGACCCAATTTAAGGTTAATATTTGATAGGTAGTTAAAGAATTCCAGTTTTATGTATTGTCCATGTTTTTTCCTAAGGTGTGCATGTGTAAGAAACTGTTAGTAGAGGGGACTTTAACTACAATTGCTGTGTAAATCTTCTGGATAGTATGTTACTTTTTATAAGAAGTTATATGTCTATATTTTTAGTGATAGCCCCTGGATTTTAGAGGAACATTAATTTAATGTGCTTTTTTTTTTTTTTTAAACATTTTCTCTTGGATGCAGTTATTTATTTAGCATGTGATAAAAGCACTTTTTCTTCCTGGGCTGTCTCTGACATGGCTATGCAAAGCATCAGCTAGTCTTTGTTTTGTTGTGCTTTTCTTTTGAAGGTCATCCAAGGATGTTTTTGGTTATTTGGAACTGTCATACTCAAGTATTTGACATCTAAAATCTTTGGCATTGCAGATGATGTAAGTGCATTTTCGCTTAAACTTGAAACACTTGAAAAGAATCAAACAGGCTAAAAACAAGTTATTTGGGTTATTAAAATACCACTATTTAAACCAGATTCCAAGATGAAGTCTATTCATCTTTATTTTATCTATTTATTATAGTAGAAGATAAGTATGACTATGTGTAGTCTGTATTCTTTACAATTAATTTCTCGATAGAATTGTTATATTGGTCTTTCCATATCACAAAGATTATAATTTTTAAAATTTATCTTTATTGTTGAGAATATTGCAGATGCCCCCATCTCCCCCTCTATTAACCCCCTCCTCCCATCTCCCGCCCAGATGATAAGATGTTAAGGTGAGCAAGCTCAGAGACCTAAGCTCATGTTCTGAGGGCTGAGAGTCCTGGTTTCTCCCTGTCTCTCTGTCACCCCCTTTTGTCACAATAAAGATGCTGTCTTCATCTGTTAGTCATATTATATAGTCTTTTCTTTCTTCCCCTCGGTTTTCTGGTCAGTTCTTGTGAAAAGTTTATTTATGAGCCTTTATATGTAATTGATTCCAAGTTAGTTTTATTAACTGAGTTTTGTTGTTCTGTTTTGGTCTGGGTTTTTGGGTGGGAGGGAAAATAAAAGGAGAATTTTGCTTTATTGCATGAATTAAGGACCCTTCGTAGCATAATTTTGCTTTGGCTGTTTTACTGTGCTATTTAGTTAGCATGTTAATTAAATTTAAAAAGAATAAACACAAGAACCAACATGGAAAGAGTAAAAGTAAACCACATGTTTTCTGTAATTTATTTTACTAGCAATGGGCGGTCCTTTGTCCCGCGCTAGCGGATTGACGCCATGGTTCGGGAACTGGGGTCTGAAGTCCTGGGACCTCTGTGGACGCGTCCCTGGGGCCCATCGCTTTTCGGTCCCCTTGCCCGCCTCCTTTCACCGGGCAGTTTAGCTTTCATCTCCTATACGTTGCACATGGATACAGGTTCCTATGAACAAGGGAAATTTCTGCTAAAAAAAGATTGAAAACAATTAGGCTACTAATGGGTGGTCTAGAACCTCTGGAAAGATTTCTAAAAGTATAACCCTGTAGTCTAACTGTGTTCACACACTCAGTGTGTGCCTGCGGTGCGGCTGGCAGGAGACTGCACTCCAGAGCAGCCGTGGGCAAACTACGGCCTGCGGGCCGGATCCCGCCCGTTTGAAATGAATAAAACTAAAAAAAGAAAAAAGACCGTACCCTTTTATGTAATGATGTTTACTTTGAATTTATATTAGTTCACACAAACACTCCATCCATGCTTTTTTCCGGCCCTCCGGTCCAGTTTAAGAACCCATTGTGGCCCTCGAGTCAAAAAGTTTGCCCACCCCTGCTCTAGAGACACAAAACTGATAAGACATGGAATGGTGGGAGGGAGGAGCAAGTCCACGCGGCTACGACACAGTGTGGCTGCAGGAGTAGTGCCCGCTGTGGGAGACACAGTGTGGCTGCAGGAGTAGTGCCCGCTGTGGGAGACACAGTGTGGCTGCAGGAGTAGTGCCCGCTGCGGGAGACACAGTGTGGCTGCAGTTGTAGTGCCCCCTGCAGGAGTAGTGCCTGTGCAGGGAGACACAGTGTGGCTGCAGGAGTAGTGCCCGCTGCGGGAGACACAGTGTGGCTGCAGGAGTAGTGCCCGCTGCGGGAGACACAGAGTGGCTGCAGGAGTAGTGCCCGCTGTGGGAGACACAGTGTGGCTGCAGGAGTATTGCCCGCTGCGGGGAGACACAGTGTGGGCTTGCAGGAGTAGTGCCCGCTGCGGGAGACACAGTGTGGCTGCAGGAGTAGTGCCCGCTGCGGGAGACACAGTGTGGCTGCAGGAGTAGTGCCCGCTGTGGGAGACACAGTGTGGCTGCAGGAGTAGTGCCTGTGCAGGGAGACACAGTGTGGCTGCAGGAGTAGTGCCTGGTGCAGGGAGACACAGTTGGCTGCAGGAGAGTGCCCTGCGGGAGACACAGTGTGGCTGAGGAGTATTGCCGCTGCTGGGAGACACAGTGTGGCTGCAGGAGTAGTGCCCGCTGCGGGAGACACAGTGTGGCTGCAGGAGTAGTGCCCGCTGCGGGGACACAGTGTGGCTGCAGGAGTAGTGCCCGCTGTGGGAGACACAGTGTGGCTGCAGGAGTAGTGCCCGCTGTGGGAGACACAGTGTGGCTGCAGGAGTAGTGCCCGCTGCGGGAGACACAGTGTTGGCTGCTAGGAGTAGTGCCCGCTGTGGGAGACACAGTGTGGCTGCAGGAGTAGTTCCCGCTGTGGGAGACACAGTGTGGCTGCAGGAGATACAGTGTGGCTGCAGGGAGACACAGTGTGGCTGCAGGAGTAGTGCCCGCTGTGGGAGACACAGTGTGGCTGCAGGAGTAGTGCCCGCTGTGGGAGACACAGTGTGGCTGCAGGAGTAGTGCCCGCTGCGGGAGACACAGTGTGGCTGCAGGAGTAGTGCCCGCTGCGGGAGACACAGTGTGGCTGCAGGAGTAGTGCCCGCTGCGGGAGACACAGTGTGGCTGCAGGAGTAGTGCCCGCTGTGGGGGACACAGTGTGGCTGCAGGAGTAGTGCCCGCTGCGGGAGACACAGTGTGGCTGCAGGAGTAGTGCCCGCTGCAGGAGACACAGTGTGGCTGCAGGAGTAGTGCCTGTGCAGGGAGACACAGTGTGGCTGCAGGAGTAGTGCCCGCTGCGGGAGACACAGTGTGGCTGCACCAGTACAGAGGCACAGCGGGTCAGGGAGGCTCCTAGCAGCCAGCTGGGAGGTGGGAGCAGAAGGTGATTGAGTCACCAGGATGTGGACAGTGGGCAGGGAGAAAAGTGACAGAGCCCAAGTCCTAGGTTTGTGGAATTTGTTGCCTCACTGGGGAAGACAGCTGAGTTAGGTGTTGATTCAGGCTGAAGTTTTGGGTATATGTGAAATGGGCTTTTCTGTTTTATTTAAATTCCTATTTGGATTTGGATGATGTTATGTATTCATATTTTCAAGCACCACCTGTTTGGCTTTATTGTGTTTCCCTTTGTCACCAGTTCTGTCATCCTCCTCGCTGCTGTGGGCTTGTTCTGTAGCCTTTTCTGATGCTTGAGGGAAAGTGTGTGGCTCCTTTGTTTTCAGCCTCTCTTATTTTCCAATAAATACATTAAAGCTATAAATTTCCATACAAGCAGGACTTTTTGTGTGTCTCTTACAATGAACTATTTTATGATTCTCTTTTTAACCTTGAGGTTAAATTTTACGTTATTTAATTTCTAGCCAAAAGGATTTTTAAAGCCCTTTATAGTTATCATTTTCCGATTTTATTGTATTTGTGATTAAAAACATACAGTTAGTACTGTATGACTGAAATTTATTGCAGCATAGCATGTGAACTTTTTTGAAAACATTTTACTTTTGTTTAAGGATAACACGTATTCTCTCTTTGTGAAGTTTGTATTTCATGTTTGTGTGCTTATTAGTAGTATTATTCAGATTTTATATTAACATTTGTCTGCCGTTTGTATTTTAGACGTAAATATTTAACATCTCTATTGAACACTGTCCTTGTCTTCCCTGGTGGTCTAGTGGTTAGGATTCGGCGCTCTCTATTGAACACTGTCCGCTTACCTATTTCCTCTACAGTTTTTAGGTTGTTTTCTTTTAAATATATTTTTATTGATATCAGAGAGGAAGGGAGAGGGAGAGAGAGAGAAACATCAATGATGAGAGAGCGTTATTGATTGGCTGCCTCCTGCAGGCCCCCTGGATCAAGCCTGCAACCTGGGGCGCATATGCCCTGACTGGGCATCGAACTGTGACCTCCTGATTCATAGGTTGATGCTCAACCATTGAGCCACACCAGACAGGTGGTTGTTTTCTTTTGTACAAATTGAATCTGTGAAGTTAAATGTAAATATGCTCATGATTGGTATGATCGTGCTTTGCTGTTCATTCTGTCAGTGTATGATACTAGCCGTCCTCTTCCGTATCATCTTGCTTGAATTCAGTTTTGTGAGACATCATAGTCGCTGACCTAGGCGTCTTTGGTTCAGTCTCTGGTGTGTCTTGTTCTCTTCTATTTTCAGCCTTCCTGCAGACTTTGGTTTGAAGTATGTCTTGCAGAGACAATATAATATTGGATTATTTTCCCCTTAAACCCAATTTGAGCAGCTGTTCTTTAATTAGTGAAGTAAGCTCTTTATTTATATGGCAGACAATTATCATTACAGTTGGGCCTATTTCTTGCATTTTATTTGAGATTTCCCAACTATTTTTCTTACTCTTTAGATTTCTCTCCTTTTCATTGGACACAGTTTTCTTAGGCTGTGTTAGGTGCTATTTGTTCTCCTATTGATTTCTTAAAGCCATTGGCACACATTTCTTCTCCAGCAAAAGAAAGTGCTTTGAAATTGTTGAGCATGCCCCCACCACCCTTCAGTTCCTCCTCACCCTGACCCCCTGTCATCTGGATACCCCCTGGGATTTTAGTTAGGCTTTGTTTTAGATGTCATTTCCCCCCTTTTCTTATTATCCCTTTTTAAGACAATAAGGAATTGGAAGTTTGGCAAATGTCTCATTTAAGTGAAAATAATCTACCTTTCTCACATGGCTTTGTGGGGAGATGAGGTGAGGTGAGCAAGAGCACTTGGTAACATAAAGGTTACACAGATGTCCGAAAGGTGCATCTGTTCCCAGCCTGCCTGTCTCCTGCTTCTTGCAGAAAGGCTCCAGTCCCTTTTCAGAAACCTGAGTTGATGTGTCCTTTTCTTTACTGCGTTGCACGCTGTCCTTTGATGGGTGACAGAGTGTCTGTGGGTCACCAGGCCCCCGTCCCCTGGGCTCGGCAGAGGCATTGGTGTGCAGTATAGGGCACCAGGGCTTGTTCACTGAGCAGGGAAAACCCGGGGTAAAGGCTTTGTTTGCTGAGGATTGACTGTGGAAGCCAGGGTGCTGTTGGAGCTCCCCCGTCAGTGAAAGAAGAAGGAACTGGGAAGTTGGAGGCATAGTGCTTTGTTGTTTAACAAAAGCTCACTGTATGGGAACAGGAAGCTCTATCATGTAGTGAAAACTACTTCTAGGTACTTTTAAGAATAAAATGAATTATTACAATCAATGGCCTAATCTAATGGTACCTCGTTTTATTCCTTACTAGGCTCATATTGGCAACTTACTAACATCAAAATTCTTCAGCTATAAGGATTTCGATACTTTACTGTATACGTGTGCAGCGGAGTTTGACTTCATGGAGAAGGAGGTAAGATAGGGTTTCTAGTCTTCCCTTTGGGTTGTGTTTCACTCATTTTTCAGAAAGGGTGTTCCTGTGATTTATACTCTGCCCCCTGTGCTGTCATCTGGGTTTGAAGGAAAAGGAAAACCTGGCAGCTTGGAGGCAGCTGTCCCAGTGACATTGGTACGGCTCCCTGGACTCTGGGTCCTCTCTCACTTAACAGTGCAGAACCCTGCACCCAGGCGGCGGCCTTCCTTCCAGCGGCTCTTCCAGGCAAAGCACTCGCCCAGGGAGCTCAGGCTCCTACACTGCACTGCACTCCCTTTGCGGTGTGTGTGTGAATGTTCGCGTTGCTTTGAAATACGATTTATCCAAGTTCTCATCCCACGTCAGTTTTCTGTTAAACCTGTACTCAGATGTTTAGACGGAAACCAGAGAGTGGTGTAGTGGAGTGAGAGACAAGCTGCAGTGTCGCCTAATGTTCCCGAACAGATGACTCCCTTCTTGGTACCATAGCTACTGGGCACGAGCAGCCTGCTGCAGAGAGACAACGTGCACAGCAAAGCACTTTGCTATCTTAATGGTATTTTATAGAAAATAGAATTTGCAGTACTTTGTGAGCTGGTTTGGTTCAACAAACATACATATATTTGTGTCTCATTATACCACCCAGGTGGCCCTGATTTATGATACTTTATTATCTACGAAACGTGTTTCTTTTTTGTAAATAGTATAGAATTGTCTTGTGAGGGAAAATGTTGGTGACAAGCAAATCAATTGCGATTTAGAAATTTCAGGTTCAGGATTGTTTAAGACTGTGACCTCAAATTATTGAAAGGTGCATAGGATTACAATGTGCCAGGCTTTGTTAGTGAAGTTTTTTTTCAGTAGTTTTTAAAATCTGTTATAAAAGAAATGCCAAAATGTTTTATTCTTTTTGTAAATATTGATCAGTGTGTGTGTGTTTGTGTATGTGTGTGTGTGTGAGAGAGAAACAGAGAGAGATGGGATCATGGTTAAGGTTTGATTTCTTAAAATATATATTTGTCAATTTCAGAAAGAGGAAGGGAGAGGGAGAGAGATAGAAACATCAATGATGAGAGAGAATCATTGATCGGTTGCCTCCTGCACACCCCCTACTGGGGATCAAGCCCAAAACCTGGGCCTGTGCCCTGACCTGGAATCGAACTGTGACCTCCAGGTTCATACATAGGTCCATGCTCAACCACTGAGCCACGCCAGCCGGGCCTGGCTAAGGTTCCCCCACAAAATACGCAGGGAAAGCCTGGGCTGTTTGAAGGAGTCGTGCTGACTGCAAGTGAACGTTAGGCGGCCCTGTAGTTAGGGCAGTTGGTGCAGAGGGTGAACAGTCATCTCTCTCATCACATTTTACACTTTCACATGTGAGGACAGGATCTGTTAGTGTTTTCGATTCAACACTTTGGGGAAATTTGTTTCTATGGAAACGCATCTTCATTTGTATAATGGGAGTCTGTGGTTAGATTGGGCCCTGGCTGGGTGCATGCTTATGTTTCCCTTCACTTAGTTCATTATTTGAAATGAAATTTTGTCTATTCAAAATAACACCTTCTTCTAACAAAGCCTCCCTGTGAATTTCAGACTCCACTGAGGTACACGAAGACACTGCTGCTTCCCGTGGTCCTGGTGGTGTTTGCTGCGATCGGCAGAAAGGTATGTCCGTCACTAGCAGCTCTTTCGCACTGTAAAGCCTTTCCAATTCCTACCAGGAGGTGAGTGTGCTGGGCTATGTGTTAATCCAGCACAACAGTTACTAATAGCCTTGGACGAACACTTATAACCCTTAAAACATCCCTCTGTCTGCCAGCTGGAAATAGACCTGGGGAAAGGGTGGCTCAGGCTTGATAATCATGTATTTGAAAGACAAGATCAAAGAGACCTTAATGACCCAGATACAATGGTTTCCGCCAGTGTAAATTATTGCTGACTTGCTTTAACTCTTATGTAGTAGCTTCCTAAAATCTTTAACACATGCCTTTGTAAGCCATCTGCGCAGTGTTCACTAACTCCTGGATTGGATTTATTATTAATCAAAAGGAAAAATAGAATATTACCAGTATATTATTAAACTCAATAAAATGCTTAGACTCCCAACTTGGCTTTGATATTGAAACTCTAAGCCCAGATACAGATCAGGGTAGGGAAGTTGCAGTCTTTAGCAAAGAGCGGGTGTGATGGTCTCTCTTTTTTCTTTAAGAGTTGGTGGAGGTAACCGTAGGCATTTTACGAGAATGAATTGAGATTAATCTGTAATAGAATAATAGGTGATAGATTCTGATCTGTAGCTAGTGGTGTCTGTTTTAACACAATGTTGCATATTTGTAGAATATTCTGCACTATACTTGTCGATCACATTATGTACTGTACTTCCCCCAAACATATCACGTGCGTTATTTCAGCTGGTTAATTGACAGCCCCGTGGAAGTACGCAGACATTATTGTCCCCATTTGGACAGATGTGGAATCGGAAGGTGGGAGAGGTTGCTCCCAGCCTCACCTCATGTCCATGGGAAAGCTAGGGGCAGCAGGGATGTGCAGGACCCCGCTTGGAGCCTCAGCCCAGTCCACGTCCAATCAGTTCACGGCCAGTCAGTGCTGCTGTCTGCCAGGCTCTGCTTCCTTCGCCTTCTGCGCACTTTATGTGGGTCCGTACCCAAAAGGAAGTAAAAAATACTAGATGTCGGCAACCCAGGAGGCAGGGAAAGACACCATGTGGGTGGCTGCAGGTGACGAAGCCAGGTTGGGCTAAGGAAGTGGGGATGTTTGATTGAAGAAGGAAGATTCCACTGGAAAGAGGATCAGTATTTCACATATTTAAAAGCCTGCCACTTGGAAATAAGATTACACTCATTTGGCTCCTTAGAATTATGGCCAGTTCCAGGAGGCAGGACCTTGGACCAGAATTGATCCAAAGTGATTAGGAAAGTGCTGTAGATTCAGGCAGCAGCCGGCGGCTCTTCAAGAGCTGGGTGAACCCCAGTTAGCAGTGGCACGAGGACATGGTGCCGGGGGTGGCGTTTCAGGCCGCACGGCCGCCCAGTGACTGCTCAGTATGAAAAGGCAATTCTCAGTCACGTGTGTCTGTGTGAAGGGGAGGCCTGGGGGGTAGAAGCCACTGAGTGTGGATTGGGAGCTAGAGGGCCAGTTTGAAGGCCCAGCAAAAGGCTCCACCACCTTCCAGGAGGTCGCTTCATCCATCCGAGTGAGCTGGTTGCTCGTTTACAGAATGAGGACAGGGAAATCTGCCCGCCCAGGTTGTCGGGTGTTGATATGCTCAAGAACTCTACAGATGCAAGACTGTGTCGTCGTAATTATTACTTTCCGAGTTTTCTCTTCATACTTTTATTTAAGTAAAGGTTTGAAAGTTCAGAAGACACTTTAGTTAAAATTCTGCTTTTCCCCAAACAGCTATTCTAAAGTGTTTAAAATCTTTTTGCAGATCATTAGTGACATGTGGGGTGTCTTAACTAAGCCACAGACACATCTAAGGTAAATATACTATTAATAATGTTGCTACTTCCTCCACTTATTATAAAGTAGATACTTACAGTGTGTTAACTACATAGTTCCCTGTTGTATGCCCAATATTTGCTAATCGTCGTTTCCCTGGTTGTCAGCCTTTGTTTTTCTCGTTATTTCTTACCTGTGCAGAGCCCAGCACACCCCTGTCCACACTCCAGGCCCCGCCCGATCCAGCCCAGGCCGACACGACCTGCACATGGTCTGTGCCTGAGGGACACAGTGTTATGTTTTGGTTTAGCAGGGAAACTATGATTCTGTCGATGGTTTCAGGACCAGAGAAGAGCAGGGAAATATAAAACTGGATCCATACCGCACTTTCTATGCAAATTAATTTCGAATGGAACAAAGATACAGGGGGAAAAAATGAAACTTCAAAATTAACCGAGAGATTACATTTCTAATTTTAGGATTAGAGAGGCCTTGTTAAGTCTGACATAAAAACCTGTAAGCTAGAAGAAAAGATGACAAGGTTGTCCAGATACATACTTGGGTTTGGTAAGATATTATAAGCATTGTTCAAAGAAAAAGACGAGTTGGGGGAAGTATTTGTAATATAAGAACAAGGGACTAAGGGCCATCCTATATAATAAAAGCCCAGCGACCAAACGGCAGAACTAGTCGACCAGGCGCTATGATGCACACTGACCACCGGGGGGCAGACGCTCAATGCAGGAGCTGCCCCCTGGTGGTCAGTGCGCTCCCACAGTGGGAGTGCCGCTCAACTAACCGGGATGAGCAGTGCTCCCACAGTGGGCAATCCCCACAGGCCACACCCCCTACCAGTGCACACATGCCATGCACAGGGCCTCTAGTCTTATATAAAGAATTTCAATAAATAAGAAAAATGATAAAAACCCATTACTAGCAATTTAGAGAAGAACGAATTCTCCTTTCCCTTTCTGCCCCTGAACAGGCAAGTGGTTCCCTGCCTCTGCGGTTTGGCAGTGGTCCCGCCCAGCCCATACCTGCCCCTCCCCTGGCCCCATAGCCTGGCTCTTTTGTATGGCCAACGCCTTTAATCCTTACATAATGTCACCTCCTCAGGAAGCTCTCCCTGACCATCATTCCTGAGTAGCTTCCTGTCTCTTGCTTGTTATTCTTCACCATCACCCCTTTCTGATTCTCTCAGCGTGCATCACCATTTGTGCTTAAATACTGTACCTCTGGAAGTTTGATGGCACAGGGAGAGGTACGGTGGGGCTGTGCTTCAGCCAGCACTTCTCTCCATGCCAGCGCGTCCTCTCCGTGCTCAGTGCTCACAGCAACGCAGAGATAATGCACAGAGATGCGCGTGGTGGGGGTGTTCGGTGAACCGTGGGAACAACCCAGTGTCCACAAGTAAGGGATTGGCTTAATTAGGACCCAGTCATAGATGGGTGCTGGCTGTCTTCATGGACATATTTCCATCACACGTCATTGAATACAAAGTTACAAAACCTTATATAGGATGGTTCTACTTTTGTTTAAAATAGGAAGATTGTGTACACTTATTTGTGCATAGGAAGGATCTGGAAGGATGAAACTAATGACTGACTGAGAGCATGGACTGGAGGACGGAGTAAAGGAAGTTTCAATTCGACTTCCACACTTTTGTCGGAGTTTTGGGGCGGGGATAGAGGTGAAGTTTATGTGTTTGTATTTTCTTTTATAACTTGAACACACACAGTCTTATTCTCTCACCTGTGAGTTTCTACCAACCAGAGAGAAATGGTTGCACGTACCCCGAGACAGTCCTCGTTCTCATTTAGAAACGGCTGTGGCTGTGGCTGTGGCTATGGCTGTGGCTGTGGCTGTGGCCGTGTTTATTCCTGGAGCCTTTGACGGGGGTGGGAGGTGGGGTGGAGCGGGATAGGGGTGGGGGGGCAGGGCAGGGAAGGCTTCTGGTATAAACGCCAACATTTCTCTCCATTGGAGACGGAGTTTTTCCCAAAGAGCTTGAAGGTTTGTACAGATGACAAGACACGAAGCCACAGCTGTGAGGCAGCTCTGGAGGAGAAGGGCGGGCCTGTCCAGACGCAGAGCGGCCCTGGGAGAACCGCTGGCTGCGGAAGTAACTGCAGAGCCCACGGGGCTAGCAGGGTCACCGGAGTAGGGCAGGGCTTTGAGGTCTGGTTCCCTGACACTTCATTGCGCGTGAGTGCCCGAGTCGGATGCCAGTGTAGAAGGGGAGCAGGCGGGAGAGATGAGTGAATATGGGATGTGAGTACCGGATCCCCTTCCTTTGCTTTCCCTCTCCTTCCCCTTTTGTGTAAGCTGCATGGGGGCAAAGGGCATTTCCCACCTTGTTCCCCACGCCACGTCCAGTGTCATCCGTGCTCAGTGACATGGAGCCTGTGGATGGATTTGCACCCTGTCCTCCTGAGGGGTTCGTTTCGTAGAGGAGAGATGATAGTCAATAAACCCATGACAGTGTGTCTTGTATGAGGCGGTAAAAGGGAGATGATGTGGGAGTGATCGAGGAGGGGGACCGAATGGGGGGACAGGGCGCCTCTAGGTTGGCAGCAGCAGCATGAGTTGTGTAACTAGAGCTTGGTGATCAAGAGGGGATGTGACCCAAGGATGAGGAGTGGGGCCCAGCTTAGGAAGGCGGTGGGCAGCGTGTTAGGGATTTGAGTTTCTTCGTTACCGGAGGACCCAGTGGAGGGTTTGGGCAGGGTGTGGCGTGCCCGGATTCCCATGTTCAAGGTTGCTCTCGGGACTGTGAAGGCATCTGTAGGGCGGGGCGCGGGGTGGGGTCGGAGGAGGATGTGTGAGCCTTCATGTACACATCCTCCTGGGAAGTTCAAGCTGTCAAAGCTAAAGATGGCATTTTGAGGCTGTTTGTATTCCAGAGATGCTGCTGAAAAAATCTTCTATGTGGCTTCCTAAATGGTCTCCGTAGCAGCTACAGTTCAGGGGGAGCTGAGGGAGCATGGGGGAGGGAGGCAGGGTTTGGCACCAAAGGCCTCAGAGCTCCTCTCAGTCCCCTCTGCTGGGACGGCTGCAGTGAGGGCTGGCTCCCCGCGTGTCCCGTCGGCCTGATAAACGTCCATGGCATCAAGTCTATGGCACGAGCAGCGTTGCCATTTCTTTCCCAAGAAACTGTCTTAAAGGGCTGCCGCCCCGGCTTGGGTTTATCACTGTTAGTTATTTTGCTTTACATAGATGCGCCCTGAGGGACTGCTCCAGGAGCTGTAAAACTCACATTTGTAAGATAAAGATGCAAACAATTGAAGGAAGTGCTCCCACCGTGATTTAATAGTAGTGTTTCTTTTCCCATTGCAGAAACCACCAGTGTGAGCACGGAGAGGTAAAGACTTAATGTTTGTATATATTTGGACTTTTTTCCTAGTCCCACCTTCTGAGTTTATTAGTAATGTCACTACTCATCTGTAGATGAGGCCTGCACGTGTTTGCTGAGAATGCGACAAGCGGGACTGGTCACTGTTAAGTAGGAAACTCACTTGGTCCCCTGTGGGATCCCCACGGTGGTGGCAGTTCATTTCTGGAACCATTCAGAGGCACGCGGATTGGGATTGCTTTCCCCTCGGCTCACCTTGCCCGGGCTTCGGAGATGTGACTGCTGCTACTCCCAGCTCCTGGTGATTCAGCCTGGGTTTTTCCCCTTACTCTTCTTTTTAAATTGAGATATAATTGACATATAACATTATATTATAGTTTGAGCTACAACACATGATTCAAATGTACATACATTGCGAAATGATCACAATATGTCTAGTTAACTTCTGCCACCCCACTCAGTTACAAGAATTACCCTTTTTTCCTTCTGATGAGGCCTCACGATCTGCTCTTAGCACAAGCCTGGCGCCTGCAGCTAGTGATGCTGCAGTGCACGTTCCCACCTGGTTCTGATGGCTCGGCCAGGGCAGAGCGCTGGGAGCTTGAACCGCAGCTGTTTCTGGTTGCCGCTCCCACCGGGACCTGGTAGCGAGAGGTAGATTCAGAAATGTGCCTCAGTGACGGAATTTGAGCCCTCAGACAGAGGGGAGAAGTTGAACAGTGAATGTGAAGGCTTGTTTATTTCAGAAATGAAAGTGTTGTTACTAAGAAGCAGTACCCTTTTCTGTGTGTCCACCGTTTTGACGCTATAGTCTCAAACGTCACAGACAGTAGGAGTGAACCTGTCTCCTTTCCTTCCAGCTGGTGTACCATGCACTGCAGCTGGTCGCGTACACAGCCCTCGGTATTTTAATCATGAGACTGAAACTCTTCCTGACACCACACATGTGTGTCATGGCTTCCCTGATCTGCTCGAGACAGGTAAGGCCGTGGCTCCTTGGCGTGTAGCCGCTGTGATAACTTCACAGCTTTGTTGTTGAGGGTCCCTAAGACAATATTGAATTACCCAGAGTTCTGAAGTGATTATCATGGAAGCTTTTCATGGTTTTGTACTGATTATTCCAAAAAGCCAAAGCTGATCATGTTCTATCTCCTAACTTCTAGAATAGTCCTTGACAAACAACAGCAGTGCAGTGAATTCAGGAATGGTTACTACAGATGTTGATGGGAAGCAGAGCTTAATTGTAGAAATAATTTGTTTGCTTTGACATTCATATCATAAAGTATTGTAACAGTTGATTTTATTTGATACGTACTTTCAAGTTGCATGTTTTCCAGTATTGAGCTTAACAATGTTTTCATTGAGTACAGGTATGCACAGTGTATCCCTAGCTTCAGTGCGTTCCCTTTTAAAATTGAGCTGAAGCCTGCTGGTTATTTGCTGCTTACTTTTCCTGGATACCTGCCTCCTTGCTCTGTAGTCACAGATTTATGCTTCCACCGAGTTACCTTTTCTTTTTTTTTCTTTTTTTAAAAAAATATTTTTATTGATTTCAGAGAGGAAGGGAGAGGGAGAGAGAGATAGAAACATCAGTGATGAGAGTGAATCGTTGATCTGCTGCCTCCTGCACGTCCCCTCCTGGGGATCGAGCCTGCAGCCTGTGCATAGAGCCTGCAACCTAGGCATGTGCCCTTGACTGGAATCGAACCCAGGACCCTTCAGTCTGCAGGCTGATGCTCTATCCACTGAGCCAAATGGCTAGGGCCACCGTGTCACCTTTCATCAATCAGGTGGCCCTGTGTGGAACAGTACCTCTTTACAACTTAGCAGTATTTACTTAGCGTCTAACCACACTCTGGGGAGGAGGGTGGAGCAGTGGTGGAATACCTAAAAGCACCATTTTCTGTGTGTCTTTGGGAGTAATCTTTGGGAGAGAATGATAGCGGCACCTGTTGTTACTGAGAGTGGGCCATCCGAATAAGGACACCACCAGCCGGCCTCCGGTTCCCAGGCAGAGTATTGTTAGGTTTGAGAGGCACTGCTTTCTGAGGGTCGATGGAGGGAGACTGCTGTTTCTGCCCCTGTGCCCAGCAGCCTGGACAGAAAAGGAGGCTGGTTGGAAGCTTTCCCTGCATCCCTCCTCCCTCTCCACCTCCCCCCCCCACCCCCCAGTGAGACTATGGCCCTAGGTGCCCCGGGCTGGCCTCTCGAGGTGGGTGCTCCATGCACAGCCGCCTGGGGAAGGACCCTGCACTGAGCTCCATGCTCTGCTGTGGCTTTTGTGATCTTCATAATCTTCGAGCAAGGGGCCCCAGTTCTCGTTTTGCAGTGGGCCTGGCCTGGCCTGACGGGGAATAGAGCGAGCAAGTTGAGAGAAGAGCTGCTTAAATCTCGGCCCACTAGTGTAAGGGCTGGTGGGAGAATCCTTTGATTTCCACGGCACTGTTTCTGGAACTTGCTTTATCGGGGCCTCGCAGAGACTGTGTTGTTCTCTGGGAAGAATGTGTGTGTGTTGGAAACATGCTGCTTCCTACTGACAGTTAACTGCCCATGTGTCTTTGACTTGGTTTCAGCTCTTTGGATGGCTCTTTTGCAAAGTACACCCGGGTGCTGTTGTTTTTGCTCTGTTAGCAGCAATGTCGATACAAGGTTCTGCAAATCTGCAAACCCAGTGGAATATTGTAGGGGAATTCAGCAATTTGCCACAAGAAGAACTTATAGAATGGATCAAATATAGTACCAAACCAGGTAAAAAGAAAAGTAGTGTTTTTCCCAAATTTTACATCACTGCAAAACCCTGAACCGAGTCACTGCCAATAGCTTTACTCTTTCTAGGCAGCGCTGCTCATGGATTATCCAGAAGAGAGATGTCAGTCTTTTTTTTTTTTTTTTTTTTTTTTAATTTATTGATTTCAGAGAGGAAGGGAGAAGGAGAGGGAGATAGAAACATCGATGATGCGAGAACCATTGATCAGCTGCCTCCTGCATGCCTCATGCTGGGAATTGAGCCCACAGCCCTAGCATATGCCCTGACCGGGAATGGAACAATGACTTCCTGGTTCATAGGCCAATTCTCAACCACTGAGCCACGCGGGCCAGGCACGGTGTCAATCTTGCTTAAGTGGTTTGCAAAGGAAATGCGAGGCTTATTTTTTTAGTAATTAATTTTGCTGTTTTCCATACATTCCAACTTTTTTAAAGTTTTACATGCCACAATTTAAAGTAATTTTTATGCTTGTTTTCTTCATGAATTTTTAATCTTAGCCAAATTCCTTCTTGAAATGAACTCATGGGATCTTTATGTTTAAAGAGGGAGATTTTGTTGTCATCTGAGTATCAAATGACTGAATATGAAATCATCTTCAGAAATTTTTGGTTCTATAAAAGTTTCTGAGTCAATTTGTTACTTCTTTCCTAGAATCAGGAAAGATACCCAAGATGTTTACAATAAACAAAACACAAAAACCCTCGCTATGAGATGATGAGGCAGTCTCCCAGGAGAAGGCCTCACGGAGCGGGGTCTCGGCTGCTGCTTTATCGGCCGTCGGACTCCACTCTGGCTCTGCCCTGGGTGGTTCAGGGACCACCTCTCTGGGCTGCAGCCCCTTCAGCTGGGCTCCGCTTCTTTGAGTTGAGTGTCCTCCTAAGACGTGGCTCCTGCTTTGCAGACGCGGTGTTTGCGGGCGCCATGCCCACGATGGCGAGTGTGAAACTCTCCGCACTTCGGCCCGTTGTCAACCATCCACATTATGAAGATGCAGGACTGAGGTACACGATTCTCTCCCTGAAAACACATTTTCATACTCATAGTGTGGGGGCCAGCAGAATAAGGTTTCAGGAAGGACGGGGTTAGCTGGGACTTACAGAGGTGGGAGGAATGCTGGTGAGATGCTGCGTTACTTGCAAAACGTGAGGCTCCATAGGGCAGTACAGCCCACCCCGGGGCTCATCATCTCACCAGGCGCTGAGGAAGTCCCCGCGTGCCAGCCCAGTCGGGTCACGAATCCCAAACATTAGGTTAGTACTCGTCCTCCTCGGCTCCCGGAGACTCCTCAGCCTGTAGCTTCTGTGAAGGTTCTCTCATGGCCCATTTTTCTGGAATTCCATTCAAAGAGGCTTTTATTCTGGTTTTCACCAGGATAACCTGTTAAAATGTTGTGTTTTGTTTTTTACTGTTTTTTTTCTTAAAAACGTAAAGTATGCCCTCTTTGAAAAGGAAATAGACTCCATTCCCGTGTGTTTCCTAGGGTAGGCCAAGTCATTCCTTTCATAAGGGACTGGGTGAGTCCTAGTAATAGCAGTGGGATATACATTTTATAAATAAAAAGCTTTACATGATTAAAAAAAAATTATTCCTGGCAAGCTAGTTTCCAGAGCAGTATGTTGAATAATTTTAGCTTTTACAAACCTAGGGACGAAATGCAGAGCCGCTGCCCGCTGACTGTCGGGGTCAGGGCTGGGCTGGTGCAGCGCGAAGGAGCCCATCTTGTGCTTGTGTAGCGCCTCCCACCCCCTCTTACTTGTGAGAGTGACGCCTTAGAACAAAACCAAGCAAACAGCCAGAAAGCCCAAGTGTGGGAACCCCTCTCCCAGGTCCGGTGCCCCCTCCTCCCATTTCCTTCCGACCTCCCTCCCGATGCCCTGAGTGGGCTCCTGTGGGGCGTCTCCTGGCCCTGCCTCCCTGGCGCCTTCTCCCAGCCCCGTTTAATCTCACAATCTTCTGCTCGATTTTTCTTTAAAGAGCCAGAACGAAAATAGTGTACTCGATGTATAGCCGGAAAGCAGCTGAAGAAGTGAAGCGAGAGCTGGTCAAGTTACAAGTGAATTACTACATCCTGGAAGAGTCGTGGTGCGTGCGGAGATCCAAGTGAGTACATGTCTGATGACCACGAGCCACGAACGCCAGGCCAGGCTCCTGGGCAAGCGCTTCGTTAAGTCGTGCGGGGGAGGCAGCATTTAGCAAAGTATAAGGGGAAAATATTTGTAAGGCAATGGTTTGAATTGGAGTTTTTCCCTTCTGTCATTACAGATATCTATTTCTTTATAATGATTGGCCCGTGTACACTTCCTTAAAGGCAGTATACAGGCGCTGATTGATAATTTCCTGAATTATTATTTGCCTGTGATGTTTTTTAAATCTTTTATTTCACATTGGATGTATTTTCTCTCAAAAGACTTGCAGAGTCTGAGACCACATGGAGAGTCTGGTTGTGATGACATGGGGAGGCGCTGAGTGTCAGGGCCTCCTTTGTCCCCACCATCCCTGCCACCCCTGCAGCTTAGACAAAACCTCTCTGCTGTTTCCACGTCGTATTTGAGTGGGAAAATGGCTACTTTTACTCTGACCTATATGCTCTTGGGTTTATCGTTTTAAAAAATGCCTGTTTTCAAGAGCCGCTCACTAAGGGTGTAAGCAGCAAGAGTTAGTAAGACCCTCAGAGCTACTGTGAGCTCCACGGTGGACTGTTAGCTGCACTGGGTGGCTGGATAGCTGATGACAGCAGCTTGCTGCTGACACACCAAAGCATGGGTTCCCGGCGGAGCAAGGACTGGAGCGTCTCACCAGAAACCGGGGATGTTTATGGGATGCTGCTCATTCTCACTGCTCTTTAGCTGAACAGAAGCCGTCAGGAGACTGCTGTGTCGGTGGCTTGGTCCTACTTACTCACCATGTATTTCCGTGGTACACAAGGGTGTTCAGACACACTAATTATATATGGACTCAGGAGGGAAAACAATTCTGGGACACGGTTGGTCAGCATTGCCCACCAGGAAACTCGAACAGTTGTTGATTGTTGAACGGTTTTTCTGTGAATATGTCCCAAGCTACTTGACTTGAATCAGGATTTATGGAAAATGTTATTGTTCTTCGAGTCATGTTTTAGAAAATGCTTGAAGTCTTTTTGAACATAAGAATGTATATGAAATTCGTATACCCATCTTAACTAACTTCGTTGGGTAAATTTAGGACAGAAAACTCTTAACTCTTCTCATACTTCTGTGAGGACTTTGTAATAACTGGATGGGGCTGACATCTGCTGTCAGAAGTACTCCTTTTAAAAAATATATTTTTATTGATTTCAGAGAGGAAAGGAGAGGGAGAGAGAGATAGAAACATCCATGATGAGACAGAATCTTTGATCTGCATGCCCCACACTGGTCACTGAGCCCGTAACCCAGGCATGTGCCCTGACTGGGAATCCTGGTTCATAGTTCGACTCTCAACCACTGAGCCACACCGGCCAGCACTCCATTTTTTGATGGCGATTTCCACCGTGCTGGGGTCTGCTTTGTGCCTCGGCCTCACTCCCAAGGCTCTGCCAGCCTGAGGCAGCTGTAGGTTCCTGGGACAGAAATGTCATGTTTCATGCTCCTCCCCCCACCCAAGCTAATGATGAGCCTTGGCTCAAGAGTCTTCGTGTTCCCCTGGGCCCTTGCAGAATAGTGTGGATGGGTGCTGAGGTGCTGTGGGAGCGCCCGGGATGTGCGTGGGTGGAGTAGTTCACGTACTAATAGCAGAGCACTGCTTTCTGTACATGATGGGGGAGAAGACAACTTTAGGAACTTATTCAGGCAGTTAATCTGCACCCTAAACATCAGCAGTGAATCACCCATCTAGACAGAGCTTGTTGCCAGCACCAAGACTCAGAGGTGGATGGTGGGGGTGCTGGAGTCCCATGGGGACCTTGACTTGCCCTTGTGTTTGTTCAGCAGAAGTAGGGAGGCAGGAAGCGGAGGAAGTGACTTTCTCTAACCTGTTATCCCCACTCCATTACTAAAACAACACTCGATCTGCTGCAAGATTGCAGCCAGACTGATGCTAAATCTCAGGGCTTAGTCCTTGAAACAAAACGCATGCTGTGCTTTCCGTTCTAATAGGGAAGCAAACAGGCGCTCAGAGAGGAGGCGGGGGAGAAAGACTGATCGCAAGGCCTGCCGTAGCCATGGGATGGACGGAGTTTCTTGGCAGACTTTCCACCTGCATTGGGCTCTTCCTTCTCCCCCGCCTGGGCCCTTGCTCCCAGCTCAGCCATGCCGGCCCGAGACACCTGCGTGCCACGGGGACAGAGCAACCTGTCAGAACAGAGGAGCGAATGGGGAACTCACATACGAGAAGAAAGGACAGGGACTAATATTTATCTAGTGTTCGGTTCATGCCCAGCACTTGGGTGAGCCCTAAATTATATGATCTCATTTACAAGGGGCTTAATTGTGTGCCTTAATTATTCCTTATTACTTGACACTCTGTGTTCCAATAACATGTATGAAAATCACTCAAATGCAAGTTATAGATGAGCTTTTAATGAACTACTCTCAGTTCTCTGCTTTCTTTCTCATTAGTCCCAATAATACAGTTGACATGAAATTAAAATACATGAATTCAGAAGAAAATTATTCAGGTTTTCACTGATGCTGTTTGAAGATGTAGCCGGCTGGCCTGGGGAGACTTTGGGAACTTGATAGGGACTCAAGGATGTTACACTTGGGCAGACAGTCTCCCAAAGGCAGCTCTGCCCTCTCTTTTCTCCTGCAAGCAGGGGGCTCAGGAGCTGGGAGTTTCTGCTTGCTGTGTAGTTCCCCTCTGCTGCCATTGGCCTGCAGTGTGGTAACCGCCTGGCCTCAGCTCCTGGGAGAAAACGAGAAGGTACACCAGCCGAGCCCCATCATGTGTGTGCTCAGTGCGGGAGAATCTGCTGTCAGCCACGGTGTGCAAAAATGTGCACCAAACACTCTGCACACAAACACTCATTGGGGAAACCTCCCGTGGAGATCCTTTGATGGAGGCAGCGTGAAAGTTGTGTAGCCCTTTGTCAGGGTGATAGTGCTGCTTCTAGAAGCTTAGCTTGCAGAAGGATAGAGGCACAGAAATGTTTATGCAAGCACCGCTTTATTATGGTAACATGGGAAACAGTTAAACATCCGCCCGTAAGAGAGTGGTTAGGTAATGCACAGGAGTACCAGCGACAATTAAAAGGAGGAAAGCTGGTCTTTATGTAATGAGATGGAAAAGGGCCACATTTTATTGGCAGTGAGGAGTCCCAGAACAATCTCATTTGTGTAAAAGCAGCCCGGGGCATCAGCCCACGTAAATGCCCGTGCCTCCCTGTGCCTGTGTCTGAACCAGAAGAAAAAGTCTGGCAGAGTGTGTGCTGGGCTCTTTGCAGAAGTCACCTCTGAGGATGGCCCGGGAGGGCACGCTGACTTCCATGTTTTATTTTGGTAGGTCTGTTCGGACACTTTCTGGATGATTGATTACCTCTAAGTAAAGATGCTGTGAAAAGAGAAAGGATTGCATTCCGCCACTGTGCTCGCCTCCTGGTGGAGAGGAGGGAGTGGGGTTGCCATTGGGAATAAAGGGACTTACTGGGAATGGCTTTTTCTCTTAGAAAAAAGTGAAGCAACTATGACAAAACATGAGTTGTCAACGCTCTATAATTTCTCCTTGACTTGCCCTTGTGTGTGTTCAGCAGAAGTAGGGAGGCAGGAAGCGGAGGAAGTGACTTTCTCTAACCTGTTATCCCCCAGGTTAGTATCTCCGGACACTGAGCACACACATGATGGGGCTCGGCTTGTGTACCTTCTCGTTTTCTCCCAGGAGCTGAGGCCAGGCGGTTACCACACTGCAGGCCAATGGCAGCAGAGGGGGAACTACACAGCAAGCAGAAACTCCCCGCTCCTGAGCTCCCTGCTTGCAGGAGAAAAGAGAGGGTATTTTCTGTCGTTTTTATTTTTTAAATTTCTCAAAGCGAACAGAAGGTTGTGAACTTGCATTCACCTTTTCTGTTTTATGAATGGGGCCAGCATCTTGTAAGCACGTCCCACATGTGACTTGCCCTGCGATCCTCTGGACGAGGCTCAGTTTGGCAGAGAAATGGTTGCGCTTCCCATTCCGTGTCCCCTGGGAGTGCACATCCCTCTGTTCTGTCATCCGTGAAGTTAAGTCCCTTCACGTGATTGAAGCATGTCCCATTCTCTCTAGTTTAAGGAGACAGCTTTCCTTTATTTTTAATAAGAAATCTATAGAGTGGTATGTAGAGGCCATTTGTTCATTCCTCTTTCTCAACAGCGTTTCACCAGATATCTTTTACATCCAGTTTTTATTCCTTGCTGAATCAATGATTACTTTAGTAATTATAAACATTAGGCAGTATAGATTGGAAAGTAATGTGTCACTTACTGAACAGTGGGCATGTGAGGATGGATTTGATAAGCAATAATTGGACCAAGAGCCACTGGGCTTTCTGTATGGAAAAATTTAAAATCAAATCTCTACCTCACACCATACAGGAAATTAATTACAGATGAGTTCTAGGTCTAAGTGCACACAGCAAACTTAAAACTTTCATGGGAGAATACACAGTGTATGTGTTCACGATAGTGTGGTATGGAAGAATTCCTTAAACAAGACAAAAGTCATAAGCTCTAAAAGAAAAGACTGGTATTTTGGAGTATAAGATAAAAATCTTTAAAAGGAAATTGTGAACCGTAACAAAAGCCAACAATTTTAGATTTAAAATAAATGTTCGAGTTATCGCGAAGATCTTAATCTTATTTGGGCAAATATCACATAATACCAATTTTACTTATACTGTTCTTTAAAAAAAAATATGTCGTTTTCAAGATTGAATTATGGGTTCAGTTAAGATGTGAGTTTAACACTACTGCATTTTCTTGAAGTTGGCTCATTCTGGAATACAGTTTATGGAAAGTTGCATAAATATGAACTAAGTATGCTTGCCAATTAAAATTTGTAAAATTAATGTAATAGATTACCTCTTCCTACATGCTGGTTACCATGCCAGATACAGTGTCTCTATTAATCCTTATACACATCCAAGCCAGGGGTTTTTCCCATTTTGGAAATGTGGGGGTGAGGCTGAGCGAACTGTCCAAATGCACATTTTGGTAAGTAGCTGAGGCAGAAGGTGACCAAGCTCTTCCCCCATCACTGCATTCATATACTTTGTACATCTGTTTCTTTAGCATTAGCTTTGCTGTGTTCCTCCTTGTTCTAAGGAGGGCTTAGGGCGGCTCACACAAGTGTAAATTACTCTGATTGGATTTTTTAAACTCAGTTAGTTGACGTGGAGCAGGTGAAAGGAGGGAGGGCAGGATAGACAGTGTGTGCCCTGCTTCACCCGCGCCTTCTGACGCCCCCTGGTTCCCTGTGTGTGAATCTTGCAGGCCCGGCTGCAGCATGCCCGAGATTTGGGATGTGGAGGACCCCGCCAACGCTGGGAAGCCGCCCTTATGTAACCTCCTGGTGAAGGACTCCGAGCCACACTTCACCACCGTGTTCCAGAATAGTGTTTACAAAGTCTTAGAAGTTATAGGAGAATGACCGCGGCCTACAGAGAAGGGCATCACTCATGGTTTTAACGTTTTGCTAATAACTCATGCCTTGTTTTTAAGCGGATCCCAAAAACTTTTATAGCTAACTGTTTTCAAATAGGATAGTGTTTTATTTGATCTATTCGAATGTCATTCTGATTGTAAAAGTATGTATACCACTATGAATTGGGTACTATTTCAATGCACCCCTTAAAATTTGCTATGCAAATGAGTATATGCTTGTATTTGACTTAAACATTTGTGCTAAAAGGAGCAAAGCTACCTGTCTACAAAATAAATAGGTGATGACAAAGATGATATGAAAATATGGTCAATTCTGAACTCTGTGGGGGCTGATTTCACAGTTTATGGACCATTAATGCCCTTGCTTTTGCATCTGCCTCCTGCTCTTGTCTTTGGGACATGCCAGTGATCATTGGCGCTCCTCAGCCCTGCTGGTCCCTGTCATAAGGGTAGACAGGGCTGCCAGGGGTGGTTGCTGGGTGGTTACCTGTTTACTTCCCTTCTCCGTGTGCTTTCATTCTTTGTTGCTCTTGTTAACGAAGCATTTCCTGCCCTTTAATAATCCAGACTCTAAGACAGAATGGCCAGGTCCATTGCTGTGCCAGCCAACAGTGTGGTGTTAGCGTTTCTTCTCCCTCCTCCCTCTCCCCCAGCCCAGCATTCTTTGTCAAATCAGTGGTATTTACTCAGTTAGTTCCTTATCAAGTACTTATTCTTGGTTTAAAAATATTTAATGGCGAGTGTATATTTTCTCATTTTTAGTATTATTCAAATGTGTATATTTTAATACCTTTAAACCACTTTTAAAATTTTTCATGTTTAATTGTAGTTTTAAGAAAAACTATTTTGAACAACCTCAAATGTAATACATCCAGAAACTAATGTATATTTCTGTAGACATAATTTACAGTGGAACAATAGACTGTAGTGTGTGGTAGCTTTTCTGTTACTATTAAGATATACTACAACATGACTAATTTTTCTGTCAGAAAGTAAATGAATAATAATATTGAATGGAGTTTTTATATTTTACTTTTAAAATTGCCTGTCTTTAATAAGACAAAGCCTTAAGCCTTACCATTTTGGTTCTAAAAACCATTTCAGTGTGAGGAATGAATATATTCAGCTTTCCTCTTTATATTTTTCTTCCTATTTATTTTTATTTTTAAAAATTTCCAAACCTCCTTTGAGTTCCTCCTATGAATTTTTGTTTTCTAGAAGTTGTGTGAAATGAGATTTTTCAGAACAGTGAGTCCTTGTAGCTCTGAGAAACGGTTTTAAGATTTTAAATTCTAAGCAAACCGTGCCTCTGGCGGACTGCACATTGAGTCATGCAGCGTCCTCTAACCACAGGCCCGTTAGCCTCACTGGAGGCCCTGAGCCCCGAGTCTCGGCGGGGGTGCCGGTGCCCACCCGGGAGCCAGGCATCGCGCTTGTCTCTGCCTCCTCACAGACCCAGGACCAGCCGGGCCAGCTTAGAGCAGACCTGAGCGTGCAGCCCCAGGCCTGAGTCCTGGGAACGTCCTTCCAGCCCCCCTGCCCGCCCCCCCATTCTGTCCCTGTCTTTAGGTGCTCGTCCCGCCTCCCCCCCTTTGCCGTTGCTGGGTGACTTTTACTTCTTGGGAAGTGGCCAGGGGAGTTGTGGCTGAGGAGGAGAATTGACCCAGAAAAATGGGAAGAGGGACCCGTGCCCCCAGGATGGGCGTGTGGGGCGGTGGAGGGAAGCGCACCCCTCCGTCTGCAGCTGTTTCCCACCCAAGTGCGGCTCTTTTGTATGTTCAGCGGGAACAAGGCTTTTAAGAAATGGTACTTTTAAAGTCATTCTCTGTCCCTCCCCCACCAGTGATTTCCTTCCCAATAAGCTCCCATGTCATGATTGGACATTAGATACAGTGGCCGCTGCTTCCTGTGCTGGGGGAGGGTAAAGCGGTCACGCTGGTGTCATTCCAGGTCACGTGTGTCAGTATTTGTACCTCGGCTCCCAGCAAGCTCTGGTTCTGCTCTCGGCCGACTGTGTGGGTAGGCCTCGGGCCGCGCGGCCCGCTCCGTCCCGGTTACCGTCACGGTCACGGTCATGTCCGGGGGCAGCCGCTGCTGCAGATTCTAAATCTCTTTTTATGGCAACACAGCATAGTAGTAGGTTTCATAAATGTGACAAAACAGTATTGAAGTTCAGTATTTTACACATTTTTTAGCATTTAAAGATATTTTTGCTTTGGTGTAAGGAAGGTAAGGATGGGCAAGGAGGCGATAAAGACAGCTGTGCTCTGACAGGAACAAACGAAGCCGGGGCAGTATTTCTAGAAGCTCAGCCCCTGGCAGCGCTTGGCAGAAGCAGTGCATGTTAGAGTGAGGCGGGTGAGGAGAGGGGAGGGTGCGTCAGGAACACGGTGATGTGACAGAGGAGCATTGTATTTTTATGACTTTTATGCCGGTTGTTTACATGTACTATGTATGTTAAATAAAAAAGATCATGAAAATACGAGGAGTACTTGGTTGTTCATTGTTATTTTCGCTTCCTCCCTGACCCGGGGGTGTCCAGCCTCCTGGTGCCAGCGGATAACCGAGGGCGGGGCTGGCAGAGCGGAGCTGCTTCGTCCTGGGGAGGGGCGCTGGGCTTGCCCACGCTCTTCTTGTACCTGTGGCATCACACACTGAGATGGCTTATCATTTTCATCAAGGGACACAGTCGTTCTTTAAAGCCATATTTTGGGGATAATTCCAGAGCCGCTGAAAGCTTTTGCTCGTACATTAAAGCACAGTGTGGGCGCGTGACCCTCCCTCAGTCGCAGCGCCATGTTTTCGCTTGATGCGAGCGTCAGCTGTACTTGTCTGCCTGGAGGAAAGACAGGCGGGTTAGTTCACGCCTCTAATTATTTCTTTACATGGTGACACCTGACGTCCGGGGTGAAGTGTATAATACGGTGGCTCTCAGATGTAGTGTGTGGAGTTCGCATCCTTGGAGGCTTGTTGAACCCAGATTGCTGCCGCCCCTGCAGAGGTTCCGATTCAACGGGCCTACGGTGGGGCTGCTGTGGCCTGAATGTGTCCCCCAATTCACAGGTTGAAATAATCCTAACCCTAAGGTGACTGTGTTAGGAGGTGGGGCCTTTGGAAGGGGATTAGGTTATGAGGATGGAGCCCACACGAAAGGGAATGCTCCCTTGCCCCTTCCACTGTGTGGCCACAGCTGCAAGGTGCCGTCTGTGCACCAGGAACCAGGCTCTCACCAACACGGACTCAGCCGGCGCCTGCGTCTCAGATTCCCAGCCTCCAGGACTGTAGGAAAAGGATTCCTGTTTGTAAGGTATCCAGTCTGTGGCATTTCGATGTAGTCGCCCCAGGGGCCTAAGACGGATGTCGCCCCACCACGTGCATTTCTAACCTGTTCCAGGTAATGCTGATACTGTTCATCCCAGGACCATGTTTGAGAACCACACTCTAATGAATGGGAAAGACTGGAAGACTTGCCTCTAGGGGGCGCCCTATTCCTGACAGCACTTACCCACCCACCAGGACAGAGGGTCGAAATAGTGGGAACTGGATTTTGCGGAGTTCCTTGTAGCTAAAGGGCTTTGCTCCAATGGAACTTGCAAGGAGCAAAGAACAGATCTGGTCATTTTTAATCAGAGCATCAGTACAGCTTATTTGCACTGTATTCATTGATGAGAGTTCTGGACCATAAACATTTTAAAACAAGACTGGGTCCAGGTCCCTCTATGCCAGCGGTTCTCAACGTGTGGGTCGCGACCCCTTTGGCGGTCGAACGACCCTTTCACAGGGTTCGCCTAAGACCATCCTGCATATCAGATATTTACGTGACGATTCATAACAGTAGCAACATTACAGTTATGAAGTAGCAACGAAAATAATTTTATGGTTGGGTCACAACATGAGGAATGTATTTAAAGGGCCAGCAGGTTGAGAACCACTGCTATGCTGTCTCGAAGGGTAAGAGGTCCTTTTTTACTGCTGCATACTATTCCCTGGTGTAAATCAAGCATGTCAAACAAAGGCTAACACAGACCAAATAAACGAGGCCCGCAGGCCGTGGGTTTGACATGTGTGGTGTAAATGGACCACAGTGTTTCTTTCACTTTAGAGATGGAAAAAGAGTGAAATCCTTTGAAACTGGACTTCTTTTGTAAACTTCCTTTGCCTAGAAGGAAGTAGATAATTTAGTGATCTGCGTGGATTTTAAAACTTCATTTTTCACTTTTCTGCTTTTGTGTGATCCCAGAAACACTCTGGCTTCTTTCTCCCTCTGTTAGAGGGCAGGTAAGGGTGGCTCTGGGTCTCAGATCACGTGTTTCTTATCTGACCCCTTCCCCTCCCCCCAACCAAAAGTTCCTCATTTAACTCAGTGAAATTGTTCCTGACGCAAAAACAGCTGAGCTGCTCTTAAACTTCATCACATTCTCCCCTTGTCTTTATCTCACAGTGCTGTGTCAGCACAAACACATTTTTACAACTGAAGTCGACAAGGACATTGGGGTATGCGCTTCCCTTTTTAGCCTTCCTCCCTCAGGGAGATCTAAACGTTCTGAGTGAGTGGGAGACTGGAAGGCTTTCCCTTAAGATTCTGAATCGCTGTGGTATGATTAAAAGGTACATTTGTCTTTTTTTGCAAAGATATTGGGTTGGTATTGATATTGGCTCTGTTTTCAAAGCCATGTTTTCTGTGCTCAATGGGCTGTGACCTCAAATTCTAATTAAATAAGCAGCGTGTTGTCAGAATGACTTTCACATGAGTGGCAGTGCACTGAGAATTCTGTTGAAGCAAGCGTGTTCCTTTTAACTCGGCATGAGACGGTTTCACTGATGTTTATGTCCCTGCACATTTTTTTCTGTATGCAAATTTAATATCTTGAAAGAAGGTGGAATGTAACAAAATCAGGCTCATTGAGTTGTTATGCTGATTGCCCTTAACGCTTTAGTACTTACCCATTTCTAAAATACAGAAATGAAAGTAAGAAATGGCCGATTCTAAGTAGATTTGGCATCTGTCCATCAAAACTGATTTAAAACAACAACAAAGTAGCCTGAAGGCCAGATTCTCAGCTCAGCTTTCTGACCAGCCCAGGTCTCTGGTTCTGACCCCTGGGCAGCGGTGCCCGGCTCAGGTCTGCCCTCTGGGCAGCGGTGCCCGGCTCAGGTCTGCCCTCTGGGCAGCGGTGCCCGGCTCAGGTCTGCCCTCTGGGCATCTGCTTATTGAGCAGAGTCCAGACTCAGAGGCCTGCCTCTTGCCCTAGAGCGCCCTCCTTCCAGGAAGAGTGATTGGCAGCCCTGCCAGCCCTTCACA